ATATAATTAAGAAAGAGTACAGGATACTTACAGGTACGGGACAAGTACCGAGTTCTTCGGGTTGCGCGCGCGGCTTTACAAAATGCGGATCATAATAATACAACTCGTCACCTATACATGTATGAATAACAGGGCATGTCAGACAGAGCAGGGTAGAATGATCGACGGCATTAAAGACAGAGGCAGCCCATACCTTGACATGCTACAAAATACAACGATCGTCCTGGCCGTCCTCCGGCAATTCCCAAGAACTGCGGTATCCTAAAAAGCTGCTTCAGATTATGGGTGTATTTCTCCGTCAACTTGTCGAGTCCAAACCGCGTCGGAATCATGACTAAAACCGGTCTCCAAGGTCCATCCGACACTTCTGCTTCCATTGCTTCAGATGAGGGCACAGGTCCGTTCTTATCCTTGTCCTTGACTGCACCGTGCAATGATGCTCTCTGCACATGAGTAGCTGCCTGAACGATGTTAGAGACATGGAGCGTCCCATCCATAGGAACTAGCATCGCCGCAGGACAATCTTGATGGTCCTGAGATAATCTCCTACAACAGATAAGTGGTAAGCAAGACCAGATATGTTAAATCAAAAGTCCTGAGTACCGTGCATGTTGCTATATCGCAGCAGAGGAGAACTTACTTGAGAGCATGTGCGACAGTCGCAGGACCAAACCACTCGCCGATACGCTTGTCAAGTGCCAATCCAGCCTTGGCGATCCGATGAATGCCATACGGTCGATCGGGCTCGTCCACGAACCAGTCCAGGATCTCCGTGTAGCGTCGTTGGGTGTACAACGTTTGCGACAGATGAACCCTCCATTCTATAATATTGAAAATAGGAACGCTCATCAGTTATACAAGGTTTAACGTAACAGAATCCTCAAACACCACCATCGTAGTTCAGCTTACCTCTTCCGAGTAATATGTGGACGAAACCCTGCGCCAACAAACTCTGGCCTGTTCTCATCATGCAACCCCATCCCGAGTCGCAAGAATAGAACGATGGCTCAATCCTCGCCAAATCCTTGCGATAGGTGAACCAAAACCGGGACTGGAAGTCCATCAAAAATCGTTGCAACACTTCCTGCTCTCGTGTCAAGACTGGTGTTTTCACAGACGAAGACGACGCAGAACTGATTCGAAAGCGAGCCATGGTCGCGGCAATAGAAGGAGGAAGTGAAATAAGCTGACTGTTGCTGCCATCGTGGTTGTTCAAGTAATCAAAGTCGCCAGAATCGTAGTCATGCCCAAATCCTGCTTCGTGAATAGAACGCCCGTACCGTCGTTGTCCTTCCAGGATACCGGGAGACTTTGTACGACTAGGGGACGACAAGCCGAGAGGTAGTGCTGACTTTGCAGTGGAGACCAGCGACAATGACAGAGACCTCCAAGATCGTCTCAGCGAAGACCCTGGAGATGATGCTGGCGGTGAGGGGATGAAGACAGAAGGCTGTTGGCTTGGTTTGGCGGGCGGAGGAGGTGCCGGTATGCTGCTTTGTCGTTTGGCGGAAAGAAGGGTACTGGATTGTAGAGGCGATGGCGAGGACAGGGACGGCGTTCTAGTGGGTTTATATCCCTTCTCGCGCACTGATGCTGGAGCCGGCGCCGGTGATGCGGCAGACATGCTTTTGCGGCGGTTGCGTAAGCGCAAGGCTTCGCTGGATGGAACCGGGGATGGGACCGGGGATGGCATGCTCTCCACGCCAGTGATGTGATTACTCGAACCAACGGCAGCAAGAGCACGACTGGTCTTGCGTTTCCTCTCCCGGTTGGGCGCTGCTTCCGTTATCACTCCAGGGGTGATTTCTGGGGCCGTATGCATTCGGGATTCAAAAACAGTGTTGTTGTCTACAGTGGCATCCTCAGTGATAGAGGACAGATCAGATGTTGGCCGCGTCTCATGTATAGCAGTTAAAGCTCCGTTTCTCAAGGCGGATGCAGCTGTTGTTGGCAAGGATGAGTTTGTCGGGCGTAATACCTCCTCCTGGCTTGTAGCATTGCCGTCAGCGTTCGCTTCGCTCCGTGTTTGCTTTGAACCTGTACTTGACGTTGATGATGTTTGCGCCGCTTGTAAATAGTCACTTTTGCCTGGACCAATCAAACTCTTGAGGGCAGACATACTGTTGCTGCTGTTGTTTCCACTGGGAACACTGGGGATACTGTTTGAGGCGGAGTCTCGTGAGAAAGACCCTGTCATAGTCATCCTCCGCCGGCTAGGCTTTCGAGCCGATAAAGGTTGCTCCTGCTGAACAGTTCCCGCCCCCACCCTGTCTGCTTCCAGGGTACGCGATAGTTTGTCGTCGGCAGCAGACTGGCTTTCCGCATTGACACTGAGCTTCGAAAAGTCGGAAAGTACTGACAATCGAGGGCTACCAGGGGAGGCTAAGTTGGGGCTGGAGGGGGATGTCAATCCTCCAGTAGTCGTTGTAAACTGCTCAAGAGAGTCCTCCAGCGTAGTTGAGGTAGTGCTTAGAAATTTAGAGAGAGGGTGAGAGTGCGATCGTGCTTCTTGGCATGATATGTATGAGGTGGCGGCAGATCGCTGAGACGAATTTGTCGCAAAATGGGATAGCGACGTGGAGCGGGAGTATCTGGTACGACCCTCAGGCGCAGGTTGATTCGCCCTAGGGAACGATGGACCTTCAAGCACTTCTGATTTGAGTGGTGTTGGAGTTGTCGGCTGATGTGCGCTTGGCGTGGGCTGCTGAGGAGTGTCGGGTGTCTTCGTTGCTTTGTATTCGGTCTCTGCAGTCTGGTCTTTGTTTGGGGGCGTGTCTGTTGTCTGCTGGTGCTCAAACGTATATAAGAGCCCAAGCATCCATATATCTTCGGTCGGAAAAGCTGTTTTAGTCCTGACGCGTTCATCGCGAGCGATGTATTGCACGACCTTGGAGTTGTACAGCCAGTACCTAGAAATGATGGACGGAACATTGAAAACATAGTAGTGGTATGAGTGTACGTGTAGACTGGATACGATATGTGTAGATATCATGTATGACAAGAATGGCGCGATCCAGAGAACAAGAAGGGTCAAGCAAGAGCGGCATACCCCATCTTAGAGAAGAACTGTGACGTTGCCTGCATAAGGTGCTCCCCTGCATCCGGCTCCTCCGTCACCATACCCATGGCGGGTTCCTTATCGTCCATTGCCATCGCCTGATCGTAGTCATCGTCCGAGTCATCATGCCCCAAACTATTCTTCCGAGGCAAGTCTCGCTCATTCCTCGACGGCACTGCAGTTGATGTATGGCTCCTTTGTTGCCTTGTTCTTGTGCTCGAATGGCTCCTTTGTTGCCTTGTTCTTGTGCTCGAATGGCTCCTTCCTACGACTTCGCGTATGCTGTCGAGGCCATCTACACCTGCTCTGTGATTGTCCTTGACGAATTTGTACGAAAATTCTGCATATACAATGCCTTCAGGGCTTTGCAGCTTCAAGTCTAACACCACAGTGTCCCCTCCATCCTTTGGTTGTTTGAAATCTAGTGTCTGGGTCTCGTAGATATACAATGGAGGTGTCGCTTTCTGGCCATTAGTCCTCCCTGAGTGAACGCCATTATTTGGTAGAAATGAGCCCATGGCCTCCATGTGTTCATGAACGGTCCTGACACGCGTAAAGGCCGTTTCCAAATACCAGAGTGTGATCGGTGTCGGTACTGGCATAGGTTCCGACGAGTGGGTCCTTGAGGATGATTTGGGTCTTCTGGCAGGTGCTGCTGTGGGCTCGACCGTGAAGAAAAAGACAATCGAGAAAGGGCGGCCGCTGGACGAAAGCGCTGCGGTCGCTGGGGACTGTGGTGCCTTGATAGGAAGGCGTTCAAACTGGATATGATCCATGTCGCGTAACTGGTGGCCAACGAGGGAGGAGTGGTGATCATGGTGCTTACGACGTGGGTGGTCTCCCAGATCGGTCTTCGTTAGGACCTGCCAGATCTTGACGGATACTCGACTGTTCTTGGTATGGTCCTTTGCTGCAGACAGCGCGAGTGACGAGGATAGATCTGGATATCTTGCAGAGGTCTTCCTGGTATAGACTGGGTGCTGTGCATAGAGAGATGCCCAAAATTCAATGTCGTCCCTGGAGTGTGAGAGTCGTCTCTTCCGAGGGGCGTAGACAGTAGAGGAATAGTGTTTACTGCTGCCACTGCTGCGATGAGCGATATGTAATTCTCCTCCATTCAGCGTTTTTGTCCCTGCGTCTGCTACTGCGGGTGTTCCTGCATGCACGTCGTAGGATCTTGAGGCTGGGAACGGAGGGACGGCCCTGGCTGTTTGTGATACACGATCCATGTCTGCAGAATAACCGCCAACGTTCCTCGAGAAGGGCTCATAGGACGGTAAGATTTGCTGGCTCTTGCTCCGACTGTACGCAGGACGGGGCGTTGAGTCGAGTGGCAATGGGTTTTCCATCGATAGCTGGGAGAATGGTGGCGTAAATCGGAGAAGATGAAAGAGAGGAATCGGGTATGGAGGTGATAAGGTCTGAGGCAGCCGAGTGTTATTTTATTGTGTTGTGCTGCGTGTACTTCTATCGTTCAGGACTATAGCAGGTGTTGAGTATCCATAATGAAAAAGGAATGAGGCCGGTTGGAATGCAGGATGAAGGAAAAAAGGAAGCGATGAGTGTTGCAGCGATGAGTGTTGCAACGATGAGGACCAAGGAAAGAAAGCGAAAGTGAACAAGTGCGCTATTTGTGCCTTATTGTTTCTTGTTCTTTTTACTTCGTCAGTTTGCTTTGGCCCCTCTTTCCCTTTCCCCCCCCCCTTTCTATGGGCGCGTGCTTGTGGCAAAGTGATATAACGTGGGTACCGAAAAAAAAGGAGATGGGAAACAAGCGGTGGATCAAATATGATTGAGAGGGCACGGCCAGCCTGGACCGGGGACCGGGCCATTATCTGAGCGCGCGTAGACCCCTGATCAATTATCAGCTCTAGTTTAGACTACGCATGATTGGTGCACACACTGGACAGGATAGAGTCGACCGTTGGGAAGATGTGCATGGCCACATCGCATGGCCATACCGCATGGCAATCGCATAGACCACCAACCTTGACAGTCTTTTTGCACATGAATGTGTATCGAGATGCATATGATGCATATGATGATAGTTCAATCGCAGTTCCAATCCTGTGGTTCTCTTTCCTTTCGGTGCCCTTTTTTTTGAGTTTGGCAAAGCTGTGCGCGAAAAAAATAGACGAGTACCAAAGTTCCCGCGGTTGGGTTGTACAAGGTTTTTTGTGTTCACTCACTCTCTCTTTTTTTTTTAACCATCCACCATGGTCCACGGTCCATGGTTCCGAAGGCGGTAGCAGAAAACAGATGGTGGCAATCAATAATATTTGTGCTTTCTGCGAAACAATTGGATATTCATCGTTATCTCTGCGCAGGTCCCTCGCCGACGGCGAGCAGTCTGGTCTGGGAACAACATGTTTTCTGGCCTTGCAGGAAGGCGCATTATCGGCACGTGAAAGATAGAAGGGGACAAGGTGTAGGAGTTACAAGAGTAAAAGGATGCAATAATATATTGTAACAGAAAACGGAGTAAAGGATGCAATAGTGTATTTGTTATAATGAAAACAGAGTAAATGGTGCTCTTTTCTATCCTTTGCGAAGACGAGCGGTAAGTCCCTCGACTGAGATCGCGTTTACTCCACTGATTTCCGAGGGCTTCTTAACGGCCTTGGGTGTCGCCTTCTGGACTACTGGTGGGTTAGCTGCAGCATATGATGACTTTGCTTCCTTAGCCGGTGCAATGTGCTTCTCGTGCAGTTTACGCTATGATCAAAGCAATAAAAAGAAACGTGAACAAAGGGAATATTGTTAGCTGAAGGGATAACAAAAAGGGCGAGCACATACAATGAATAGAGAAGCGAGAAAAACCAAAAAATAAAATAAAATAAAATGAAATAAATCCGACTTACGCGTTCCTCATTTAAGGCCTCATTTTTCACAGCAATCTTTTGTTTTCTAGCAGTGCTCTTGTTGCCGCCACCACCAGCTGTCAATTCCACGTTGATAGGTCTTTCCTTGATCAGAGTCTTGTTAAAAAAGAGCGCTTTCTGTAGATGTAGGAATAAAACAGAGCAAGGTGTCAGAATAATGTTTATGACAGCCTAAACAACGTAATGATGGGCCCTGTCGAGCACCGGATAGTCATATTACCTGCATGGATTCTACGTCTGGGAACTCCATGAATGCGAACCCTTTGCCTTTTCCGGTCGCCTTATCCGTCTGAACACGCACTGATGAGATCTTGCCTGTAACATCAGAAGAGCATGGTGCAAGAGAGGTCGTTTTAGTAATGAGACGTGGCAACGTATGCGCCATGTCATCCATTCCTGGAAATCAGCGACAATATTTACCGCAGCTCTCGAAATGCTTCTCCAGTTGTTCCTTGGTAATGTTAAATGGCAGGTTTCCTAGATAAATTGTGTAAAAGATATTTTTGTTTTTTAGTATCGTGGACTACTACTTCTTGTAAGTAATTGAAAGTCTAGCATGGATCGAGCGGTTGATCCAGAACACATACCGACAAAGACAATAAACTTCTGATTCTTGGGTGCTGTCTTTACAGCAGTCTTAGCCTCCTTTTCCTTATCCCCTTCACTGGTCTCCTTGGCAGACCCATCCTTGGCCTCCTCTTTGCTGGTTCCCTTGCCTCGTTTGCGCTTCTTCTTGTGCTCTAACGATGCCGTTTCCTCAGAATTGGACTCGCCCTTCGATTCCTTTTTGCTTTTGTCCTTGGTATCCTTCTTTGACGTTGATGACTTTTTATCCTTCGTCTCCTTGCTGTTATCGTTGCTAGTCTCAGGGGTGTCCTCCTCGGGCACGTCGGCGATGCTGTCGTCGAGCTTTCTCTTCTTGCCTCTAAATTCACTCGTCTTCTTTTGCTTCTTTGTCAGTTTTTCCCCCATGGTCGGTGTGGGATACGTGTGAATATGATTACAAGAGGGGGAGAGGTTGAGTGTAAAGGTCAAAGGAAAGGCAGACAAAAGGCCTTTGTTTATTTTTACTTTTTTCTTTTTTCTTTTGGTGACTGCCCAAAATAAAGCACGGTGTTATATGCTGCTCACAACGCGTAACAGTGCTCGTGGGCACATTCATTCAATTAGGCCTGCTTTAGTCTTTGAACAAAAAAACATAGCACAGTTCAGTAAGACAGCAACATGGCAATGCAAGAACGTTAAGAGAAGAACTCGTAATATGTTTATTGTTATGAGCGAGTGGGCTTGGATGTTTACTCGTCATCCTCCTCCTCAGCACCGTCGCCCTTGTTGGCGGCAGCAGCGGCGCGCTTTCTCTTGACACGGCCAGCACGTCCACCACCATAGGGAGAGGTAAGGGAGAAGTCAATGTGCTTCTGGGAGTCAAGACGGACGACGAACGAGGGAATGTCGACGACCTGCTTGCCGACGCGGATGTGGCGCTGACGGATCAGGACACGGGCGTGGTGGATGGACTTGGCAAGACCGAGCTTGAAGACCTGGGTCTGGAGGCGACGCTCCAAGAAGTCCTCAATCTTCAAGGCCAAGACGTAATCCAACTTCATCTTGTCCTCGTCCAAGACACCAATACGGACCAGGCGACGAATCAAGGCGTTACCCTCGAAGAGGCGGCGGGGATCCTTGTCCTCCAAAGTCAAGAGCTCACGGGCAGCACGACGGATGTTAGACAGGGTGTAACCAATGCGCCAGATCTCACGCTTGTTGCGGAGACCGTACTCTCCAACGAGCTTCAACTCCTGGTCGAGACGAGCGGCCTCGAAGGGACGACGGGGGACCTTGTAGGTCTTTGAGCAGTTCTTGGGAGCTCCGGAAGGCACTGGAGGCAAAAGATGAAAGAGGCAAGAAGGAACAGCAGCATGTTTAGTGATACTGCGGGAGACCCAGTTGACCCTGATTATTCAAGTTCACTGCGTCCTTCCAGTTCGGCTGAGTTGTCGCTGTTACTTATGGCCTCTGTGCTGGGTCAGTCCAGTGATGGTCTGCGACAGAGATGCATAGTAACCAGGTAGGATACTCCTGCTCGAACGATTCAGTGACAGCGAAAGCTGAAGTTGATGTCGATGATTGGTCGAAGTGGTGATGTTGATCCCCTTTGACTTACTGGCTAAAAACTGAGAGAAAGAGAAGGATCTCGCTTGGGATGCAACAGGGCAAGATCTCTTATGGTTTTGCGCCAGACTAAATGAATAATAAACAAGGCATTTCCTAATATGGTATAAATACCCGGTTTAAGCCAGGTATAACTGGCGAATCATTAACAAGGGCGTGGACTGGTAAGGTTCCACGTACGCAGTGACAGGAATAGGCCAATCAGAAGAGTCGAAGATTTTTTACGTGGTCCTCACAGCAAAAGAACACCCCGGTCGGGTTTGTTTTGATTCCCTCCTTTCTTTCTTGACCTCTTAGGGTATGGCCTAAAGATCTGGGTTATCTGCAATGGAGAGGGCAATCGAGCTGGAGCGGCGCCAGGAATCTGCTACACAGAATCAACTTCGCGCTTCCCAGCACCATCAGGATCTCATGCATCAACAGACATCAGCTATACCGAGATCCTGATTTACAAAAAAGACATGGCGAACTTATGCCCATTTTCTTACATCTCGGTTTTTTTCTTCCGTCAACAGAATTGATTCATCATGCCTCACTCCTATGGTATTCGCGCTCGCACCCGCCACATGTTCGCCCGTAACTTCAGGGAGCATGGTATGCCCATCAAGCTTACCACCTACCTGAAGACCTACAAGGTTGGCGACATTGTTGACATCAAGGCTAACGGTGCGATCCACAAGGGTATGCCCCACAAGTTCTACCATGGGTACGTCTCTCTTCAAGGCCCGGTTTTTGTTGGCTCAATTGGACAGGAAACAACCGGAAGGAAGCACATACAGAAAAAAACAACGCTGGCAGGATCAAGGAATCTCGACTTTTGTGACGAGGGTGCGCCAGTTTTACAGGAGGATCCCTTGATCTCCGATTCAGGATCGTGGGATCTGCTTGCAACCGATTCCAGGAGATGGTCGTCTGGTCCTGCGGAAACGGTTTTGGGGCATGAGGGGACTTTCACTTTGATTTCAACATTTGGGATTCAGGAGTGAATCAGCAGCTTTTTTTCCGCTTTCATGTACAGGACCTTCAAATCGACCACTGTGCTACCTATTCAGAGCTGTACAAGACCACACTTGTCTAGCATCCTACAGACTTCAAAACTCTCCAGCATTGACTCTTATCATGGACACCAACGGCACTTATATGGGATTGAGCACAGTATAAAAGTCGTAATTTTTCAGCTACCATATGCTTTTATGCACCAGCTCTTACGCCCCCGCCTTTCGCCACACCACAGGATCATGGACTGAGCAACTGGTTGCCAGGGGAAAAAAATAAGAACCTTATGAGCTTACGAAATGAACAATCATTAACTCATACTTTGCGCTTTTCTTTTTTTCTTTTCCCCTACTTCTACAGTCGCACTGGCATCATCTACAACGTGACCAAGTCCGCTGTTGGTATCATTATCAACAAGAAGGTCGGCAACCGTTACCTCGAGAAGCGTGTCAACATCCGCATCGAGCACATCAAGCACTCCAAGTGCCGTGACGACTTCTTGCGCCGCGTCAAGGAGAACGCCGCTGCCAAGTTGCAGGCCAAGACTGATGGCGTCAAGGTCAACTTGAAGAGACAGCCCGCCCAGCCCCGTGAGGCCCGCTTCGTCTCCGTTAAGTTCAACACCCCCACCACCTTGAACCCCATCCCCTACGACAGTAAGTTTTTTTTTTTTTTTTTTTGTTGTTATTGAACTTAATGGGATTTTCATGTGCCTGCTACTATTGATTGTGAAACAATTACGCTGAAAACTGATTTTAACACTGCATTCCTTTTGTTCTTCCCCTGTAGCCCTTGTCTAAATGTTGAACGGGATCGATTCTATCTGTGTGCGGAAGCGATGCGAAATAAAAATCAAGCAGACATGTTTCCATCATTTGAGCTGGGATTCAAATCATTGTGATATTGTTATGATGGTGTTGAATATGCTGGGTGGCTACCAAATACCTGTAGTTTGCTATGCATTCAAGTGAGCGTGTCATTTGGGGAGAGAGAGAGAGTGTGTGTGTGTGTGGTGTGTGGTTGGAGACACTTATATTCGTCCAGGAGTGGAGATCATCACAGTGTTGGGGAGTGAGGGACTGCAGACTTGGGCAATTCTTTCTCCAATCGAACCGAAAGGGGAGAGTGAAGAACTACTCTTACGCCATGGCTCAAGCTGAAAAGAGTATAACCAAAAAGAACGTAGCCTCACCTCTTGGTGGCGAAACATTCCTTTTCCGCTTTGCTGCCTCCTCTCTCGACCACATCTCTCTCTCTCTCTCTCTCTCTTTCCTTTCAGTCCTTCTCTTTTTTATTGAATTCATCCCAGACCTTTTCGCCTCTTGAACTAGCCCCCTAGCATCGGTAAGAGAGAAAGGAAGATCACATACATACTATAACAATGAAGCAGGCTTCCTTGAAGAGGAGCAAGCTTTTCTACGCTAAAGCCCCGCGACCATAGCAACTGCACTTGATAAACCAGCACCAGTCATCATAACCATTAAACCTCTCCCCCCTCCCTCCCCACGCCAGTATCACCAGAATCTAGATCCCGAACCGCATTTCAGAAGATAGCAGCAAGGTTGCAGTTCTTAGAGCAAAGGAACATGCGCCTGTAAAAAAAAGCATCAGCCGCGTGGTTGGGCTACATATTTGAGCCTCGGAACTGGCCCCGTGCTTGGGTTACTGACGCTCGCGGCACGGCCCAAAGATATCCTGGGGCATTTGCTTCTATTTGATTTGTTAGCAGTGTAAGTCTTTTTTTTTTTTTTTTTTTTTTTTTTTTTTTCATCGAAGGAGTAGCGCCTACGGATGGATGAGATATTTATGACACCGTTGCAGAGACGCTTCGTAATTGTGGGGTGTACATGAGCAACGTGGGGATCCAAATTCATACCAACCACAGCAGTTATATGCGGTGATGCAGACGATGAAGAAGAATAAACAGAAGAAAAAAAAGAGGAGGACAATGCGATATATGATGAGGAACGCGTCGAAACCGTGACGATCGAGAAATGAGTGAACTTGTATATACATCGGACTACTTTACATGCAAGAAGAAAAAAAAAAGAAAAAAAAAAGGAAAAGATATCATGAGATACAACCAATAAAACCCAAGATTACTACTGCTTGTCCTCGATCGTTAGTCTACTGGGCATCCTTCCCCTGTTGCTGTCGCTCTCTGACTATTGGTCAAGGCCGTGCCACCTCGCAGAAATAACATTGCCAGCCAGTTGATTATTTTGGGTGTCATTTGCAAGAACGCATGTTCTTCCAAAAGAAAGAAAGAAAGAGAGAGAAAAAAAAAGCTCTGTCAACTATCCTAAGCAAGCAAACAGTTTGCGGATCAAACTCCATTTAGAGTAAGGTATAGACTACATCGTATACTTTATTTCTTTTATCACCAAACGAATGACAATTGTATAGACATTGCTGGGTGTGCGGCAAAAGAAAGAGAGAGTTGGAATTTGAAAGCACGATCCAGGGATGCAGAGGGTTTTATTAGTAGAGGAGAAAGTAAATTATAATAGTATAGTTGGCAAAAACAAAAACAAAAATCAACACGTTCAAAAGACGTGCAAGAAAAGAAGCATATGGTACAATGGTAGGCATAGAGTATAAATCGCATTCTTAAATTGCCAAGAAAAAAAAATAAAAAAAAATAAAAAAAAATAGAACATTCGTCAAGTCATGCAACTGAACGCGCTCTGTCAAGGAAACAATATTAAAGTGTAGTAACTCGTTGTTCTTGGCAATAACAACAACAATCCTCCGACCCTCCTTCATTAGGCTGGTTTCGCCTAACTCAACTCAGCACAGGCACAAGCACGACTCCATTCAATGCTTTCGAAGTCTTGCAACTTCCTGTCGCAGCATGTCGATCTCCTTGGTCAAGTCGTCCTGATTCGCCTTCATGCTCGAGATGTAGTCAACAGCTACAAAAAAGACATGCAAAAAAGCACAAAAGAGAACACAAATCAACATTATACTTCCTCTGCCTTTGCACCCAAAACAACAACAACAGCAAAAACGACAAGGTCACGCCGTCTGCCTTACCTTTACTCAAGATCTCCCATTTGCTTGTCTTGAGACTACGGTCGACCGGCAAAGAATCGCGCAGCTCATCAAACAGCTCCTTCATCTCCTTTCTTCGCTTCCGCTCCGCCAGTTTATGTGATACCCGGAGCTCCGGCGATCGAGAATACGGCGTGTCGCCCTTGGCCCCACCCTCTGGCGGATATCCAGGGTACAGATGTCCTTGGCCCGGTGCTGGGGGTGCACCTCCTCCTCCAGAATACGACTGTTGCGAATCCGACCCATGGCCCGACAAATGCATCCGCTCCATATCTGCATTCATATTGTGGTCATAGTCTTGAGAACCATGGTGCTGTTGCTGCTGTTGAAAGTGGGAGGGATAATGATGTGCATCTGCAACCGATGACCGTCTAGAAAGACTCGCCTCCGAGAGGAGTGAGGGCCGACGCGGTTGGTGAAGCGGGAAAAGCGGTCGACCATGATCCGTCATTGACGGCCCATTCTGCAGCTTGATCTCTGCTGCCGGCTGAAGATTCAATGTTGGCACATGCCCGTGCGAAGCAATCGAGCCCCTCCTTGGCGGACTCGAGGGCGCCGAGAGCGAGCTGCGTGCATAGGGGTGATGTGAATATGGATGAGCAGCGTCCGGGATCGAATCTCTGCGTTTAGCTGGATGATCCATGTCGACAGAGTGCACCTGCGATAGAGGTGTCGAAGACGTCTTTCGCTTGACCGGTCCCATGTGATCTCCGTGAGCAATCGAGTGCCGTCTCTGGGGCTCTTGCGCAAGCAGCTGACCCAATGGTCCGGCACTGCTGTGAATCGATGGAAGGGACTCGCGTCTGCCCAGGCTGTGCTGCTCAGATTGTCGGAGTTGCATCGGCGAGGTCGAGGGGTGGGGATATGGCGAGTAATGGGGCTCTGCTGAGGGTGGCGGTGGTGGTGTGGTTGCATAGTGTCGAGTCTCGGGCCCTCCTCCGGGGGCTGTTCCGTTGTTGTAGCCATTGGAGGCGTCGATTGTAGTTGCGGAGGGTCTTCTGTGGGGGTTAGCGCCACCTCCTAGGGCCATTGAATGGTACTCGGGATCGGCGAGGGAACCTCGGCGGGAGTTGCTCATGTAGGAGTGGAGAGGGTGAGAGGGCTCGATAGGGGGCAAGGGTCTACCCTGGAAGCCATCGGGGGTTGGGAGTGGAGGTGAAGGAGTTGTTTGCGAAGATTGATGGGCAGGATGGTGGGGGTGTTTAGGATGATGGTGGTTGTAGTGCTGGTCGGGTGAGGCCAGGTGATGGTGGTCATGGTGGTGCTGAGAATAGGGACCAGGATGGTTCCCGTTGGTGTAGCGCGGATGGTGGTGTTCGGGAGGGTAGTCCACGGAGGACCGGGCGTGTGGACTGGGAGTGGGTGTCAGGGTTGCGGAGGAGCTATCGAGCGCCATGGACATGGACATGGATACGGATGCTCGTCTGCTGCTGCTGCTGTTGACGTTGTTGTCCGAGTGCTCACGGTCTGGTCCCTCGTGGACGGAGACAGCAGTAGCAGTGGCAGTGGCAGTACTCATGTCTGTGTCTATTATCAGTTGGAATGGATTCAATTGAGACCGAGTAAAGGGGACGTTGCAGGCACGAGTAAGTAAACAGGTAAGCAAGTAAGCGAGTAAGCAAGTAAGCAAGTCAGTAAGTGGGATGAAGAAAAAGGGGGATGGAATGCAAACGGAGTAATGGGATGAGAGAGGAACGGATGGAAGGGAAGAGGGATCCGTGATGGAAGAAGGAGGAACACGAGGGGCAGTGGGAGTGACAAGAAACGTGGTGAGAAAAAAGAAGGGGGGAAGAAGGGGACTCGGCCACCTTCATACTCTCACTTCCCCTCTCCCACTCTTTTTCCTTCTCTTTTCAGGCGCAAGAGATCTGATGCCCGTGTCCGAGGATTATCACCTCTTTCACACACCCACACACACTCTCTCTCTCTTACTCTCGCTTACACCCGCTTACTCGTCCTCTTTTCCTTCTTCCTCGCTCTCTACAAAGTATGATACGATATACGTGTGTTCGTGGTGCTCCCCTGCTCCCTTTCTTTGTTCAGTCTGCTCAACTGCAGGACCGCCTCCTGCACGGCGAATGACAATCTTCTAAAGCAAGTGCACGATGGGGAACGTGGTTGGGCACATTGTCTGTCTGGTTTGTGCGTAACGCCTCCCCCCATTGCTCTCTTTCTCGTCCTCTCTTTGTGGTCCTAACTCGGTCGCACCCACATGCATTACACAAACACACACGCGCACACACGGGAGTGAATGCATCCTCTACTCCAATGACACAACCACATTCACAGCACCCAGTCCAACCTAGCCTGCTCAGCGCCCTACATGTGTTGTTGTATACGTGTAACTGTACACTTCCTATCACCTAATGGCGCCACCCTATCCATACGATAGGATAAGATAGGCAAAATAAAATCTATTACTCACCTTCATGCGGGGAAGACCTGCCTGATGGAAGCGACGATCCGCCCTGAGAACACTCGCCCGGAACAGTATTGGTGTTGCCTTGACTATGGCGACCTTTTTGTTGAGTGCTGTGAGTGCTGTAATTCTGATAGCGGCCGATGTTACCCTTTTCTGCCGCTACATTTTCAGTCTCGCCTTGGTAGTCTGTTCGCCTGTCCTTATGCACCGTGGAAGATGACATCGCCGCGGCTGCTTCTGAGAGATAGGCCAGTGGTGGAATTGGTTCTCTGGAGATGTCTGTTGATCCAGTGCTGAAGGGGTGATGCAGATGGAAGGACTCCTGGATAGGATGTTGGTGTGGATAGGTCGGGCGAATGCTGTGGTGGTGCTCCATCCTTGAGGACGTGGTCATTTTGTGCAATCAACAGCACTAGGAAGCAAAAATGAAAACGGCGCGTTTTTTTTTCTTTTCTTTTTTCTATGAGGTAGGAGGAATGAAGACGACGCTGTAGAACCAGAATAGAAAAGAAGCAGTTGTTCAGTCAGCGAATTCAGGGGCAAGGGCTCTTACGATATGCATCATGAGTGCAGTTGACAGCTGAGCAGGGTATGCAGTAGATACCCATAATATCCGTCTATTCAAAAATACAGACGGGGCAAAGTAGGGCATGGCTCTCCATTATGCAAGCACACATGGAACACGCTAGCTCCCCTAATACAGTAGCTTGTCCCTTTACCAACCTTCTTTTGAGTTCTCCATGGTCTTAGCCATGCGACAAATTGAGAGCGCAAACAGAACCACCGCTCCCCCCTCAGTAGACCACCACACCAAACAGAACATCGAAGAGGAGACCACAAGGAACGTGGACGGGGAACAGACATAGTACAGTGGTAAACAAATTACAGAAGAATTGTCGCGGGCCTGTCGCGAATGGACAGCGGAAGGGGTGTTCAAAAGAAAGTAAAAAAGGGGAAAGGAAAGAGAAAGTGACAGGGGACATTGTGTGGTGTGTGTACATACACGGGTGGGTTGGAAAAAAAAAGACCCATTGCACTCGCCACTCGTCTATTTCTCCTACTTCTGTCGAGTGAAAGTTCCTGAACCAGCTAGTGGCGACATTGAAAACAACCACTCTAAAAGAACCAATCCAACAACTAGTCTACCGCTGCAGTCGCGCCTGTCCGCCGCGATTTTCGATGGCTCGCCCGTATGGGGTGACTAAAATTCGTTCCATGCCGATGATCCCACGAGGAGAAGAACAACAACATGTTCGAGGACAGCAACATCCAACCAAACAACACAAAGCCGACCGGAAAAAAAGGACGCCAAACAAGGGGGGGAAGTACACAGAAGGAGACTTTGGCTGGGGGAGGGAGGGGGGGGGGGGGGGAAACGGAAAACCGGGAAAATAAATGGGTATTGGACACGTAGCACAAAGCAAGAATGCAAGGGCTTTTTTTTTTCTGCTTGCTCGTGCACAAATAACAAACACGCATCGTGGTGTATACAGTTCAAGTTTGTTGCTTGCTCACCCTTCTCCATTCTTGTCACCCGTGTGGGCATTGCCACTAGCCACTTGTCACTCTTACTCGCTGAATCTTGAGTCATGTAAACATGTAAAAAAAAAACTCTTTGCTCTATCACCCCGTGGCTGTTACTTCTTGTTGTTAGGTACGATCTTTTTTGTCCTTGTTTATGTAGATCTTCAAGATAGACGCCATGTGGCACTATTGCATCCCAAAAGGGGGAGGGGAAAGGGAAGATACTAGTTAACTCATTACCTTTTCGTTGCGGTGTATTAGATGACGCGGAGAAAATACTCGTGTCCTGTTGGATAGATGGTCGATGCGAAGCGAAGAAAAAAAAGCAAGCCAAGGCGAAACGACGTTGTTGATGGTCGTTCGAATGGTTGTTGGTCGAGGAGGGACGAAGGACGAAGTCAAGGATGCAGTAGGATAGGAACCAAAAAAAAAAGAAAAGGCAAAAAAAGTATATTTAGAGGTGAGAAAGGAGGATTACAAGAGATGGGGCAAGAGGAAGAAGAGGCGGAATGGGATGAAGATGAAAGAGGGAAGAAAAGGAAGAAAGGGAGAAAAATGGTGGGGGAAAGAAAAAAAAAAAAAAGCAGAAGGGGGGGAAGAGATGGTGGCGGGAGAGTCTTTGGGTACGCACACATCCACATTCACTGTCCTCAAATCATTCCTTATTCGCCCACTTAAACAATTCTTTGCAGGCACAAGCAAGAAAGTATACTTCAGACCCTGCCATGGTATCTGTAGTCGTGTTTTCTATCATCCTTCTATTGTGCGACGATCCCCTGCAAAGCAGGGTTGACTAAACTATGTAATGTAATGGTCCCTTGCTTTTGCACCTTTCTCTCTCTCTCTCTCTCTGTTCCTCTCTCTCTTTTTCCCTCTCTCTCTTAGCATGCCTCGACGCTCGCTACCATGATCCCTGCATGCATAACAATACATCAGTACTCCTTCCCTTTCCCTGCTCTACTGCATCCTCCCAGTGGATCACGATTGTGCATCCCTCCCACACCGCCCGCACAATGATGTACATAAACAACAACAATAACACATGCATGCACCAATTACGCGACAGACTGGATGTAAGGATGCAGAATTCACATGCACCACATGTACATACAGCAGCAGACCTTACTGTACCTGTCCTTATACAGGTGTCTTCACTCTTTTCCCCCTCCCTCAAGGCATGTTTTTAACGCTAGGCTACTGTGCTAGGGATCATCGGATTGTTACACAGGTGCGCCATCGAAAGATCTTTAGGAACTGGTCCAGAAAGCACGGACAGATGTCAGTCAAGACCGCGGACAAAAATACCAAACGGTCTAGGACATTTATCGTTATGTTATGTGTGTGTGTGTGTAGGTTCGTTGTTACTATGTATTCTCTCCCCTTCATCCTCCCCCTAAATGTCCTCCGACAAAAGTTCGTCCTTATCGCGTCGCTTCGCGCTGCTCCTTTTAGCGACTCGATTGCTCGCATTGTCAATCGAAAATAGTTAACGACTCTGTCGAAAAGGAGCAAGACACATGTTCCTTCCCCCTACCCCGATTCGTTTGCTCAAACCTGCATACACATATTGGCATTCTTCCGACTCTCCCCCCTTCTCGGTGTTTCTTCTTGTCTCCTACGTTTTTGACAGTGTCAAAAAGAGTCCCCTTTGTCCCTTTGTTTTTTATTTCTTATTTTTTTTTGTTACGTTATTTACTCTTGAGAGCAGTTGAGTTCTAACGCGTTGTCCAGGAACACTTGAGGTATGTAGTCAACCAGCGATGATAATGCAGGTTGTCGGCCCGGGTTTGAACAATAAGGATCATCTCTTCTTGGGCCAACCTCCTCTATTCCCCTAGTCTATTTCATTCTACCTTCTCTGGATCCATCTGGCACAGGCTCCTTTATCCTCGAGCGGGGAAGGGTTGTTAAGCAGATGGCAAGGGACGTGATATACGAACTCCTGTCATTCTGTGGACAATGCACCGAATTACAAAAAGAAGAAGAAAGGGTATTTAAAAAGGAGGCAAAGTTGAGAAGGAAGGAGGGAGGTGGGTGAACTTCTGCGCGTTGGCAGAACAGGTAAACAGACATTTGAACGCGCGCCTTGAATTGTATAAAGACGTGCATTTTGGTCAACATACCACAGTGTGGATTGTCTTTTCATCCATTTATGCGCATTTTTGAGCTCTTTTATTCTCTCTCCATCATCAGATGAGTGAAGCATGCAAGACAAGAACGACTTCGCCATCTCATAAATATCTAACCGAATATGGATGAACAGTGACACTCGACCATGGCGTAGCATGGCATGGTGTGGAATAGAATTCGCAGTAGCAGGCGAATATAAGGGTAGAGTTGAGGAGCAGGGGGTGAAGGAAGGGAGATAGGGGAGGAGCGCGACTAAGTCAATGGGTCTATGGCCCATTGGATCACCGCTCAAACCATCGCCACGCGTCTGTGTATTCAGCACAGACGTGCGCTCTTAAGAACTATGGACGCGTTCGCTGTAGCCAATGGAGATCATTGGCGATATTTCTACTTGAGAGCGTTCATTCCTCAGCGCATTCTTTTCGCTGCAACCAGCGGCAATCTCGCTTTTTCACAAAGGGTCCGTTTTGTGAACTAGTTACATTTACCATCTACTCCCCTCCCTACTCTTCTAGACTCTTGATTTTCATGTGTTTGTAAGCTATCCTTCTGGATGGACATGGACCTCACCGCGTGGAGTCTATTGACATGTAGACCAGAATGTTCGACGGGTGAACAGGCGAGGCAGACAATGTGTGTCAGTCAGATCTTTGGCGCTGCTACACTTCCCGAGGATGTCAGAACCCTATTTTATGCTTCTACTGACGCATTGTTGACTGTCGGGATGCGCGGGAGTGGCCAAAAAGGAGGTATGGAGTAGATGGACCATTGGTGGCGGTGATGATGGTGGTGGTGGTTGCTGCTGTTTGCAATGGAGGCGCCGTTCGGTCTTTCCCGTCAGATCGAAATCTTTTGTGTCGCTGCATACAGATCCCCCCTCTTTTGCTGTGTCTCTTTGCAGAAGAAAGAATGCGCCTCGAAGGAGGTCAGGCGATGACTTTTTTTGGGTGATGACCAGCTGGAGAATGCAGCAATGACAACACATTCACATTCGCACATACACCCACCCACCCACCCACACAAACACACACACACAGCAGCAGCAGCAGCAGCAACAGTAGTCTAGCAGTAGCAACAAGATCAACAATAACAACAACAACAACAACAAGATCAGCAAACAGAATCAGCTTGCATCGACCACACCCTCCTTCATTCGTAGCATAACCTCTTTCCCTTTTAGACTACGTACTTGTACATAGACACAGCTACTTCCCCCGCAGCAGCAGCAGCACATTCACACTCCTTCTCCACACCCACCCACCACAGGCGACAGCTCTTCTTCCTTTCTTTCTTCCTTCTATTGAACATCCCCTCTTTCCCCCCTCCCTTCACGTTTCATTTCCTCTGACTTTCCCTTCTCCCCTCCTATCCTCCTGTGCTCCTGCAACCGCACGCATCAGTCGCCTCTGCTGCGTATTCACATCCGCATCCAGTGCTATCCTGGCTTCAGCACCACTACTCTGTCCCAGCACATCCGCACATCCGCATCTCTCTCTTCTCTCTTCTCTCTTCTCTCTTCCCACAGCAGCACACCCTTGAACGCACCGCACGCACCTGCTTCCAACCAGAACATACCCCCTCACGTCTTACTCTCTTTCACTCTACACATACACACCTACCTACCCCCCACCCCACTTTAAGGCACCTTACCGGCTGACAGGTCTCGCCGATCCAATCGCTACAGCCGTTGACATCATGGACCATCCCACCACCGCAGTCGGCGACGAGGATGCAGGACCGGGCGCAGAACTCCCTCCGTGGGCAATCTGGTCCGCAGGTGTCTTTGCCTTCAGTGCCACCTTGATCTCCTTGGTCGCTATATGGATGCAGCTCAAGAACTATAGGAAGCCGGTAAAGTCTTTAGCAGAACACACCCCTATGTGTCTTGCTTGCTTACTTGCTGCTGTTGTTGTTATTGTTATTTTTGCTTTTGCTTTTGCTTGATATATACATCATCGGAACACAAGATCAGCCTGGACAGATCTGCTCACGCGAACACTCTTGGTTCCCCCCTCTCTTTCTGTCTTGTCATCCCACCTTACATCTGTTGAATGACTGATTTATAGCTGCTGCAACGCTTTGTAGTCCGGATCCTGTGGATGTAAGTATTTTCCTCGCTCTGCGGATATCATCTGCTATTTTTTTTTTTCGAAAGCAAATGGTAACCAAATACGGCCATTTGGTGTCTGTCCTGTGAACGATTTAGGGTCCCGATTTTTGCAATCTCGTCCTGGATCTCACTGGTGTCTCATGACATTGCGTTCTATGTCGATGCCTTCCGCGATATCTACGAGGTAGGCATTTGTATATACCACCCCTAACTGTCTCTACCCATGCGCGCGTGTGCTACTGCTACTGCTACTGCTCTCCCATGCTTATGTTCTAACCACGCAGCATGTTTGTTCATTACTTTGTTGGTTTCCTTGAAAGGCGTTCGTGATCTACTGTTTCTTCAGTCTACTGGTCTGTTACCTCGGTGGTGAGCGCGCGTTGCTGGTAATGCTGCATGGACGACCCTATACGAGGCATCTCTGGCCTGTCAGTATGTGGTCCAAAGAAGTCGATGTAAGTTGTTGTTCACTCTCAATCTCACTCTCACTCTCACTCTCTTTTTCGTACGAGCGGTATTTATTTGATTCAGACCAGGATATCCTATCCCATGGAGTTATAGCTAACAGGGGTGTCTTTTTTTATTTCTTTTAGGTCGGTGATCCGTACACGTTCTTGTTCATCAAGCGCGGGATTCTACAATATGTCTATGTGAAGCCCGTGCTAGCGGCGGTGACGATGCTGCTGAAATCAAATGGGGCCTATAATGATGGATCGATCTCATTGACCTCGGGATACTTTTGGGTGTCGTTCGTGTACAACTTGAGCGTCTGTCTGAGTCTTTACTGTCTCGGCATGTTCTTTATGGCAACACAGGATGACCTCGAGGAGTTCAGGTATGGCAATGGAGCCGATGACTACGTCGCGGATGGGAAAAATAATAATAATTGACAAATAATTCTCATTTGCGACAGGATAATAGTGTTGGACATGAAGGAAAAAAGAAAAACCGGGGCTGTTACTAACCGCCTGAACGACTTTGGTGATGATGATTATGTTTTATTTCTTGTATAGACCTATCCCAAAGTTCTTGTGCGTCAAGGCGGTGATTTTCTTTTCGTTCTGGCAAGGATTTGCAATCTCGGTACTGATCTCCATGGGCGTCATGAGCAACAGTATGTTTTCTTTTTCTTTTTCTTTTTCTGTCGACACCTTTTAATCCGTTGTAGGATTGTACCGAGTTTGTATCTTTTATTTTAACCGCTCCTTTTACTTTCTGTAGCCACTCCGGACACTGCTGTTGCTATACAGGATTTCTTGATCTGCTTCGAGATGGTCTTTGCGTCTGTCGGACACTGGTATGTATAATCTTTTCCAAAAAAAAACAAATGACAGCTATCAAGCTGAGTCTGCTCAAATCTTCAACTCACCCATACTTTTTCCTCTTCTCCTTTCGTCGTCCACTTTGCGAAAAAAAATAAAAAAATAAATCTAGGTACGCGTTTTCACACAAGGACTATACAGAACTCGACATCCTTTCTGCACGGATGCCGATCTACTACGCCGTGCGTGACGCCAGCGGGATCAAGGACATTATCCAAGACTCACTCGAGACTCTCAAAGGCACGCGATTCAACTACCGGACTTTTGAACCCTCGGAAGGTGTGGCGACACAGGGCATGAGTCGTTCGGGACGGATCATGGCTGGACTTCGGTATACAGGTGGAGGAACCGCCAAATACTGGTTGCCGGATACGAATAAGATCGGAATCGGACGGACGACGAGTGATTTTTTTGTGTCGCCGCCGTCGCCGACGTCGACCACCGCAGCATCAGCATCAGCATCGGCGGCAACAGCAACAATCAATATACCAGGAGAGCAACCCCACTATTTGAATCGACCAGAGCCTCCCAGGAACCCGAATTCGTACAGTCAACAGGTCCTTGCATCGAGCTACGATGACTATGCACCGAGTCTGTATTTCAGAGATGTGGATGAGCAGGATGAGGACGGGATGGAGGAGTTGTATGATCAGTCGAAGCAGCTGAAATTTGGAGATTATAATTTCCCGGCAATTGATGTGATTGATCCAAAGAGGTCCAAGGAGAGCGATCGGAGGAAGATGGAGAGGAAGAATCGGAACAAGTCAAAGAAGGCTGCACGGAGGGAGGAGTTTGGTGAGAGGACTAGCTTGTTGGGTGCGGACGAGACAAGGCCGTTGATGACAGAGTCCGGAAGTACGGCGTTTGGGAAGTCTGGATGGTCAAAGTCCTTCGTACCAGTAGCAGCAACAACTGCAGCAACATCTGAAACAGCAACAGCATCGGCAACAACACCAGCAACAGCAACAACAGAATCAACAAAAGCTCTGACAGTCCAGGCAGGTACAGGACGCAGTAAGGAACTACGGAGTGGAGGAAAGACGACGGCGCCACGGGATGGTTGTGTCGATAATGTGAACGGATATGTCCCCGAAGGCAAGACCAAGAAAAAGAAAGGACCATCGTACCCTTCCTCCTCCTTCTCTTCACCACCAACGACAACAACAACGACGACGAATAGACCTTCATCCGCAGCAGTATGGTCTGGACAATCTCATCAGAACAGTAATCCATACAACACGAGCGAGAATAGTGATGGGTATGATACGTACGGTTATGGATACGGATACGGATACCAGTCGTATCAGCAGCCGGATAGTAGTGCGCATTATCTCGGTCACCAATATTATCCACAACAGCAGCAGAGAGGGGCATCGGACGATGACGAAGAGCGTCGTGGACCTATGTTTTTCTTTTTGTAACATCATCATCTTTAAATAAAAGGACCATGCATTATTATTTTATGGTTATCATCGTCATCATCATCATCATCACCATCATCATAGTTGTTCATCAAAATACCACTGCAATTCCAGTCCGCAATTGGGTGAAGCACAAAGCTAAAGAAGTACTGCACATCGTTCTTGACACATTGAACTGATCAGGCGAAACGAAGGGGGCCCCATTTATTATCGTTTAGAGGTCAATTTACGTGCCTGGGACTCGGTTTCAAAGATCAGCATCCTCCAGACCTTCATCACCAGGACTCCCGCATCATCATCCAACGCCTTGGTCAAATCATCCACCAGCTCCTGCGGCGGTTTCCTCTGCCGCACATGCTCCATCACAAACCCCGTCAGCTCCTCATCTTCCTCACCCAGCAGCTCCACCACCTTCTTTGACGCAAACGGCCGGATCTTCTCCTTCAAAATCAGTTCATTGTCCTCAAAGACATACTGCCACTGAATCGGCCAGTTCCACAGTCCCTGTGCATCCGCGGGAATCGACTGGAACAACGCCTTGATCTCCTGTTCCCGTTTCGCTTTCTCCACAGGGTCCAATCCACTGTTCACTTGCTGATTCTTCTCATCCGCCTCTCCCTCATCGTCGCTGTACTTCAGTGGCACGAGCACTCGACGCTTCTTCACCTCCTTTTCTTCATCGTCATCCCGCCCAAACTCAGACGCGACTACAAATCCTGAACCACTTGTTCCCGAAGTCGGTGTACCGCTCCCGCTGCTCGCCTCAGACCCACGCTTCAGTCCCCCGGCCGTTGTCGCAAGACTGAGCTTGAGTTTCGTAGGTTGATTGGGCAGTATTGTTGACGCCAATGCTGTCTCGGATGGGTTGGGCGTCGTCGATGAAGTTGGGGTCGACACAGATGTCTCCTCTACGGTAGCACTGCTTGACGCATCCTTCATTGCACTGTCACCGTCATGATCGACTGTTGGTATTTCTGAATTTGCAGCAGCGGCAGCAGCGGCATTGGCTTCTTGCGCTTTCTTGGCAGCCTGTTCCAGTTCCTCCTTCTCTTCTTCGCGATCCAAAGCATCATACCGCTCTTCTTTCTGCAGGAACGCTTGTCTCCTCTGCCACCACCGTGATCTATAACAGCAAAAAAAAAAAAAAAAAGTTGAAAAAGTTAGGTCAATCGCAAATAATACAACTTAAAAATTCCAAGGCAATACAGAGAGGAGCAAAGCATACCTGTCGCGGTAGTAGTCGTCATGCCGCTTCTCACGCTCAACATCATCATTCCATTGTGCGTATCGGTAGGCCATCGCCTCTTTAGCTGCTGCCTGCTCTGCCGCATAGTCCTCATCCCGCTGCTTATCCTTCTCGTAAAGCCGTGCTCTTTCAGCCTCACGCTGCTCCCACCGACGTTCACGCTCCTTATAACTGTGCTCCAATTCCCGATCCTTTCGCTCCTGCCGTGCCTTTTCTTCAGCATCAGAATCGACGCTGGTATCGTGCTCCGCTGCGGTTGCTGCAATAGTGGATGGTGCACTAGATGATCCTCCAGATCCAACTTCGATATGATTTGACCCACTGGCAGGGACAAAATCCATCAACCGTGTGCTGCCACTACTACTGCCACTGTTACCGCCCCATGCACGCTCTCGACCCATCCTGTGAGAAGACGACGTTGTTGATTGTGGAGCAGCCTCCTTATCACGGTTTTGCTGCTGTTGCTGCCTGTGCTGCTGATTTGCCCGTTGCCGTTCAGCCTTCTCCTCCTCCTCCCGCTTCTCCTTCTCCTTCAAGGCCGCTCGTTCTCTGAAAAAGTTCAGCTCACGAGCGATGAGTTCCTTTTGCTCCTCCGAGACTTCGGCTTCTGTTGATTCGCTATCTGGTTTGGATGTGGCTGCGTCCTCGGTCGTCGTGTCCTCCTTGACTTCAGATCCCTGCTCTGGTTCAGAGGTGTCAAGCGTGCCGTCCTTCATTTTCTGGATGATCTTCATTGCATTACCCAACGCTACCTTGTCCTTTTCTGTGTCATGCTACAGACAAGACAAAACATTAAGGAACAGTGTCAACAGCAAGGTCCTCTGCATTCCGATATTGTGCCAGGAAAGAAGAAAAAAGCATGAGCAGCGCCACTTACAATAGTTCGGGGCCGAGTCTCCTCGTATTGGTCAAGGAACTGTCGTGTCTTTTCGTCCGCCTTGACTAGAAGCGCCTTCACGACCCCGGACCCATCCATGGCAGTCAACTCAAGCCCGACAGGTTTTTCCCCTTTGGGTTGCTGACCATCCTGTCCCAAGACCCGAAGAGTCCTCAGTAAGCTGTCCGCGTCTGCGTACTCTGCGAATCCAAATGCCTTCCACTGCTGACTCGTCGGATCCTGCACACGCTTCCATTTCACAAGATTGCCCGTAGTCTATAGTGGTTAGTTAGATAGAGAAGATAGAGAGGATATAGAAGATATATAAGATATAGGAGGTATAGAAGATACAGAAGAACCAGCATTGTGAGACCAATGGCTCAAAGCGATTCCTGATCCAATTTTCGATGCAGCAGTATAAAACCCTCTTAGTATGCCTCTTAGTTACCTTGAGTAGCTTCTCCATGGCGACATTGTTGATTCCAGGTGCGATCGATCCAATAAAGAGCGTATTCATCTTGTCTGGGAGCGCTCCACCCACAACAAACGCACTAGCTGGGATAGCATTTCCACCACTCATGCCATTAGGCGGTCCAGTCATGAATCCCGGCCCAGAAGATGGTGGGGGAGCGTTGACAAATCCAGGTGGACCTCCCATACCCATTGGTGCCGATCCAGGCGGCGCCCCTAGTGCTGCTGGTGGTAATGATCCTGAACCATAAGGTGGCCTTGGCATACGATGGTGGTGTTGAGAGTGTGGAGGTGCGAGTCCTGGTGGCGGTCCATTGGGCGGTACAGCTCCGTAAGGTCCTCCGGGTCCTGGAGGAGGTGGACCCTGATGTTGCAGTGACGGATGTTGAGGTGGATAATGCTGATTGGGAGGAGGGCCGCCTACGCCGAGAGGTGGTCTTTGCGAGGGCATCGGTCCTCTTCCTTGAAAGGGTGGTGGCGGTCCTTGCATATGGGGAGGGGGGTATTGCTGCTGGAGATGGGATGGTGGTGGTGCTCCTTGATACATGGGGGGAGGTTGCATATGAGGCGGTCGCCCTTGCATATGCGGTGGAGGCGGTCCATAATGCGATCCTGGAGGAGGTGCACCATGTCGCAGGTGCGGTGGTGGTTGCTGTGGTGGTTGTCCTGAGTACGGTGCTAAAAGCAAGGGAGGGCAAAGGAGCGTTTGGTTAGATTAGACACAAGACAGACGCGTCTTGGTTGATCTGCCATGGAGACACACATACGGTATTGTTGGCGGTATGGATCCATGGCAAGCAGCCGGTAGCTTTTGTTACACTCCTGTCGGTCGGTATGGTTGAGTCCGGAGTTGTTGTTTGGTCCACAGTCGCGTCCAGTCCAGTGGCACAAGAAAAGGAGACAGGTCAGTAATGAAGAGAGGGAGGTGAAGAGGTGAATGTGATGAGGGGGATAGCAAAAAAATAATAAAGGGACCGATCCCACGTACGAAATCCGTTTTAGTGGACGTGGACGTGAAGAAATTGGGGTGGGGGCTAGTGATTGGGTGCAGACTACAGAGGAGGCGAGACGAGACGGGCTTTGCTTGATCGCCCGTTCTCCATCGTTCCATCTTTCCCTCCCTCCGCTCGAGACACCAACGTCTTTACTCCCATCCAGGACAACGGTTTTACAGGAACCACCGACGACGACCGAACGACAGCTGGACGACAACTGGACGACAACTGGACGACAACTGAGCGACAACTGAGCGACAAAGGATAAGACAGACAGACAGTAGGCACAGAACAGAACGATAACAGAGTCAACTTCACCTTCGAATCCTCATCACACAAATGCAACTTGCCATTGGAGTGCTGGCGGTGGTCCTGCTCACGGAGCTGATCAACCTTATCGGGAAGACCTACTTCACAGCCATGGTATGAATATGAATGAGCAAATCGTCTGTCTGCTTCTTCCTACCGTTGCGCGGTCCGGCCACGTTAAGCACCTTCTACTGAAATATACATACAAAAAAAATTGCGTATGATGGAATCATTTGCTTATTCGCCACAGACCTTATGGAAGGGCTCAAATTGCGCGATTCGATCGGCTCAATTGCTCGTGACAAAATACTGTTTCTAACGCACCGCTCTTAACGCACTGTTCACCTTTGTTCACTTCCCATGCCTACTCCTATCATCTCACTTCATTCATATTAAAAAATCACAAGGCATACGATGTCTACCTCAAAGTCATCAACAAGGACAAAGTCTTCAAGCAACGCCAGCTCAAACGAGAAGTCCTCACCCTCAAGAACGATCTCTCTCGGACATCCTCCCAAGACGAATTCGCCAAATGGGCCAAGCTCCGCCGTAAGATGGACTCCAAGATCGCAGAGCTCGAGAAGCTTACCTCCGAACTCCATGTCACCAAGGCCTCCTTCGAGATCAAGTTTAAGTCCTTCCTTTGGTTCATCACCAACGGACTCCAGTTCCTAATGGTCGCCTGGTTCAGGCGTGTGCCCGTCTTTTACCTTCCCTTCGGATGGTTTGGTCCCGCAGAACGCATTCTTTCTTTACCCTTTGCGGAGCGCGGAACCGTCAGCATCGCAATTTGGTTCTACGTTTGCAGAAAGTTCACTCTTCTCTTTGCCACCAACCTTGCGGAATTCGTCCCTGCGGTCAAGAAACTGAAGCCCGAACAGGCCGCGGAATCGTCGAGCAATCCCTTTGCAGCCTTTGCGAACATGGCGAGCATGGCCAGTGCTGCTGCAGGAAGTGCAGGATCCCCAGGTGGTATGGGCGGAAACCCCTTTGCGGCTGCTATGGGTGGCATGGGCAACGATTTTAGTGCCAACGGAATGGAGGGTATGGATACTGCCAATATGTTTGGACCTGGAAGTCCGTTTGCGGCCATGTTTGGACAGGCGCTTAACCCGGATACGATGGCAGGATCCGCTGGCGCCTCTTCGTCCTCGACACCTACAGCATCCAGATCTTCGTCCGTACGTGGAGCAGGGAACTTGGGTCGCGGAGAAGAGAGGAGGAGAAAAGTATAGAGATCAGGATCCACTGGGATCGACAACTCACAACATAATTGCATGGGATAATGGGCAAATAATGTAATAAAAAACTCGGTGATGCACATGAACAACCTTGGGTAGAGCAAATGGTGATTTTTGAATTGTGCTTACAGTAGCAAGCGCGTTGGGGAAGCGTTTAAGCATAGTATCTCTATGTAGGTAGTTATAACGCTGCTTTCACGTTGATCATGCTCGAGGGGTATAGCAACTATTTATGAGCCTCATAGTCTGTTAAACGTTTCTCTTAGAATTTTCCTCTGTCTCTCTGTCCTCGCAGCTGAGTCATAGGGGGGTGAAGCTTCAGTGGGATGCATTGCTAAAATAACATGCATGCCACGATGATTCACAACAAAGGCGCAGAGGGTATATGCACAGCAAACCCCCCCCCCCCCCCTTCTTGAGTAGGTGGTATAGTTGTAAATGGCGCACTTGCAGATAATATACATCCAAGGCTGAGATCGCTACACTCACTATGGCTAATCCTACTCATTTAAAAGCGGCGTGGCGGGAACAATCCGAACTCGACTCATTCTGTTCACAAGCGATGGGAGGTTTTTTTTATTTATTTTTTTATTCTTAATTATTGTTAGCAAGAGATAGCGCTGAAAGTATATCAGATATTTGATTTGGGCGAATAATTGAACAATATGAAAAACAAGGATGCAAAAGAAACAGTGCGTAAAAAAATGTATGCGGAGCCAATACGTTCGGTATGACTTAAGCGCTTCCAGCTCTCCTGATGCGGCGCTGGCGGACACCCTCACGAAGGTTGTTGAGCAATTCGACCGTGTTCTCCCAGGAGATGCACGCATCTGTGACAGATTGACCATAGACCAAACCCTGGGGACCACTTTCAGGGATATCCTGACGACCCTCCTTCAAATGCGACTCAATCATGACTCCTGTGATGGCGTCTCCAGAGATATCTGATGTTGCCAGCTGTTTAGCGATATCCTCGGCCACAATCATCTGTCTTGAGAAGACCTTGGAACTGTTACCGTGACTGCAGTCGATCATGATACGGGCTGACAACTTGGCAGCGACCAACTTATCAGCGACAGCCTTGACGTCGGCCTCCTCGTAATTGGGACCCTTGACGCCTCCACGCAAGATGACGTGGCAAGAGTCGTTGCCCTCTGTCGAGACAATGGCCGAAAGACCCTGCTTGGTGACGGAGAGGAAGTGGTGTCCAGAGGAAGCAGACTTGATGGCGTCGATGGCGACGCCAACGTTGCCGTCGGTGCCGTTCTTGAAACCTACTGGCACAGACAGACCTGAGGCCAACTCACGATGGATCTGAGACTCGGTGGTGCGTGCACCAATAGCTCCCCAGGAGACGAGATCTCCGACGTACTGAGGCGAGATGGTGTCGAGGAACTCGCATCCTGCAGGCACACCCATCTCGTTCTACATTTAATCAAAGGGAATGCAAGGCAAGGCAAAAAAAAAAAGAGTAAGTCAGTGAAAGTTCAGGTTCCTAAATGTCTCCCTCAGGCGTGGATGTATCCAGTCCTCTGAAAGACGAGAAAGGTTGCAGGATGTCGCAATGTTGCACACCGTGCCAGGTTGGTCAGTCCTTAGCATCGGTGCGGCGCGCATGAAAATGTTTGCGCGCCGTGTCATTTCCTGCGTATCTGACCCAGTTATATATTAGGCGCAATCGATCCATGTGCCTCCTTTCCATTCTCCGAGCAATGCCGTTCTTTCATTGTATTCCATCCGTTGCCGCTGTATTCGTTTCTTAACCTGGACAAAGCAACTCCCCGCCAGGATGAATTCCAGTTAAAGTTTGGCTCATGTTTCTGTCTCCTATACTTTTGTCTACAGCTGCTTGGGCGATTGATAAGATCGATCTCTGTGCTTTCATCGACTGCTCATTCATCCCTCGGCCTTGATTTCCGCTATTGCCGTTTGAGTCACCTCTCTCAGATAGCGAATCCGACTCCTCCTGAAGCGGTTTCCCTTGTGCAAAAAATACACCATAACGAGATAGAGGACCTACCAAATCGAGAAGAAGTGTGCGTGCAACACGGAGACCCTTGTTGATCTGGAAAGAGTTGTTGAGCTGAGGATCGTTGATCAGACCCTTCCAGCCAACAGTCGTCCTTGGCTTCTCAAAGTACACTCGCATGATAATGGCCAGATCCTCTTTAGCCTCGGCAGAGTAAGCCTTCAGCTTGTGGGCTAAGAGAAAGAAAAGGAAAATAAGATAAGCATACAAACTTTGTCTTTGTCTTTGTCTGTCTTTTTGTCTTTGTCTTTTCTTTTTTTTTTTTTTTTTTTAGATGAAAACTAAACGTACCGTATTCGATGGCGGCCTTGGTGTCGTGGATGGAGCAAGGTCCGACAATGACCAGGAGACGGTCATCTCTGCCCTTGATGATCTCCTCTGCAGCATGGCGTCCGACGATAATGGTCTGGGCGGCAGCGAGGGAGAGAGGCAAGTCCTCCATGAGGATCTGAGGAGGGATCAAGGGCTTGATCTCCTTGATGCGCTTGTCATCGAGCTCGTTGAGGGCTGTGGCGGGTAGGGAATTAGTGCGGGAGGGAGGGGTGGGTTTGAAAGATGCAGGGACAAAGGAGAGTGAGGTTTTGTCTACTGCTACTGGAGGCATCAAAGGGCATTGTTGTTCGTTTGCACAAATCAGTCTTCAAGAGGCGAGAGATACGCCATATCATGCCAATGCCAATGCCAATGCCAGTGCCATTGTCATTTGAAGAAAAAGAAAGCGAGGTAATTAGACTCACCGGACTTGAAGCCGATCTTTTGTTCGGAAGGCATCTTTGGTATATATGATGTATATGTAGATGAAGAGGGAGGTGTGTGGAGAAAAGACCGAGGTCGAAGTGAAGGTGGAGATAAAGAGGAAAAGGAAGTGAGAGGAGAGGCCGAGTAGCATGCTGAAACTGTTTATTTATGCACACCGCCTCGGACATGGAGCCAACAACAATAATGACTCCACTCAATTCCTCTTTTCCGCCCTGAGATACGATGATTCACATCATTTGCCGCTCCACGATTCAACGGCGGGGAGTGACTGTTGCTCAGATAACCCGCTGCCTATTGGCATCCACTCATTTCACATGTGGGTTGCACATACACACATGCACACACAGACACACATAGTCTATTTCCTATTCGCGACGCGCTTTTATTTTATTCAATGGTGTGCGCCTGAATCTATCACATTATTCCTCCATGGTGAATAAAAAACAAAAAGGAAGAAAGCGCCGTGCTACACTGGCGGGAACTGGTTAAACTCTCCTTGCTCCTCTATCGTTCGTCCCTCCACCGTGTACGACACATGGTAACGGATCCGCACGGGCTGTTGTTTGGTCGGGTTCTTGATACTCATCGACTGAGTCACCCCTCGCTTAGCAAACGCCGCAACCACCTGTGATGACTGAGGGTTTAATTGCAGCTGCAGACTCTTTGGCACTGCCACTCTGAACGTCAAATTCGACATCGGACTGTTCAACGAGTTCGAAAAGTGTGCCACAGCCTGGATCGAGCCCGCATCGTGCTCGGGATACTCCACATCCAGCTCAGCCAGCAGGCCATTCTTATTCAGCAACACCACTACAGTGATAAGGAAAGAACCATTAGATATTATGCACTTGCAAAGACATATCTTCATAAAACCTTACACGACCATACTGTAGTACCTGTTGTCGGCCCCGAAGGCGCTGTTCCTGTATTAGATACAAAATCAAAGTCGCCAAATGGAGGGTCCACTGTAGAGGAAGATAGTTGCTGCGATTGTGGCTGGTATCCTGGTGTTGTGGGACGAGAAGACGAGAGCAATGCATTCTGGTTCATCATTAGTGGACTGTTGGAGAAGGCTGGCGATCCCGCGCCCGAGCCAGATGAAGGACCTCCCATGGGCATAAATGCACTGTAACCTGGGGGTGCGGAGCTGAAGGACTGGTTAAAGTTGTTCCCTGATCCAATAGATGGAGTACTCTGGCCAAGACTGATACTTCCAGCAGCACCCCAAGCAGGTGGTGGACCGTCGTTGAAGCTGAGGTTCATGAGATCGTCCATCAAGTTTCCTATGTCCGAGGCAGCAACGAACGGAAAAATTCGTCAGCACACATATATTTCATGAAAGACAGAACCAAAAACAAAAAAAAAAAAAAAAAAAGCAAAGGGTTAATTTACCAGTAGTTGGTGGTGCAGGAGTCGTAGCTGTAGCTGGCTGAGAACTGCTGCTGTCTGATCCAAAGTCCACCAAGTCAATCAATGAAGATCCGGGCTGCACAGGTTCCGTGGTAGATCCATTGTTATTCTCGCCCTCGAGCGTAGGGATCGTCGACTTGACCAAGTTGCCACCCTTGACCTGACTGTATTGCTCGATGACATTGTTGATGATATCGTTGATCTGAAGAAGTTTCTCCATATTGTCGCCGTCCTCGTCCTCGCTAATGAACTTCTGAACCTTTGGTTGCGCCGTCTTGCACGTGCTGAGTAGCTCCTCAAAGATATCGCCCCGGCCAATGATCTCTCCTGGCTTGACATCGTTCAGCATTTCCGTCAGCAACACCGCTTTTTGCAAAATCTTGTCCAGCTCTGACGATGCCTCTTCAGCGTAGTCCGGTTTCTCTTCTTGTTCCTACATTTATAAAAATGCAACATCGCAGAAGGGTGAGAAATTGTGCTTCGATGACTTTTCTCTCCGCGCTGATGGCCGAGTGCCTTTCAGTACTAGGAGCAGACTTACATATCCTGTCATTTTCTTCACCAGCTCGTTGGCAGCAATCACATCCTCAGGTCTCCCTCGGCGGATAAGCTCTTGAAGTTTCTAATCAAGAGACATCAATATGAGGTCGGATTAGTTGGGTCCTCATCTGACGATCTGTCGAGCCATTGAAATCGAGTGCAACATAAACTCGACATACTGCTGCCTGTGCTGCTCGATCTTCTTCTTCCAGTTCGGCCGGTGATTTGAGAGACTATATGGAAATAAGACACACCAGCCTGTTAGAAGATAGGGCCACTGTATAATAACGAGGTATTCTTGATCGGCCTTAAAGTAAAACTCTTACGGCAACAGGATTCAGAACTGAGGCTGAATCGCCCTTGACCTGTGGGAACCTGTAGCCCTTGAAGGAGAGAAGCCGATGCATGTCCTTGATATGAACCAGATCCTCTTTGTACCGCGAGGATTTGCAGAGTGTCTGGAACCATTCCTGGATCATCTCCAGAATCCTGTTCTGAACAGGCGTGAGCACTGCCAAGGGTCGCTCTGGGAATTTGCGCACCAGTTCATTAAGAAACTCCTTTGTCGCGATCTGAAGGTGGAAGGGATATCCGCAGTTTTTGACGCAATTGTCCAGTAGCTATCAATGCCGTTCATTCGTTGGAAGAGGGTTAGGATGAGGAATGCATGACTAAGGTACGGTGTAATGCTGCTTTTTTTCTTGATAGTGCCTCTATATCCATTCGTATTCATTGGTATTCATTCTTACCGCCAAAGCCAACATGGCGACATGCATGTTTCGGTTGTTCACTAGGCGAACAATATACACTGCTGCCTCCCGTGGCCTATTATCCAAAAAAAAAAAAAAAAAAAAAAAAAAAAAAAAAGGGGAGGGACCGGAAAGGTACAGAAGGCCCAAGGGTCAGTCAAACATCCATCCTGATTCAAGATGAACAGGCAGGGGTAATCTGTCGACCTAGATTCACCTACGTGTTCTTTTGCTTCTCTTTGATGACATCGCAAATCTCGAGGTTGAGTGCTAAGTCGGGTTCAAAGCGTGATGGGTCGCAGGCGCGTTCTAGTTGCAAAAAATGAAAAACAGAAAAGTAAAAGGAGAAGAAAGGACGATGGGGAAACGGATGTCAGTAGGCGCTGTCGAGAAGTGTGGACTAGCAGTCGTAGCAGGTTTGCGTGATGAGGGATGCGTGCTTTTACCGATGTAGGTCTCGAGGACAGACTTTGGTTGGCCGTAGTTCATGTGGAATGCGGTGGGTGTGGTCTGCACTATGTTGCTGATGCGGGTGTGTTGTATTGGCGCTGGCGGTGGTTCCTGTGGGGCCGATGGCGCTGGGGCGAATGCGTTCGAGGAGGGAGGAGTAAATATGAAAGTATGAAGTGTGCACATCAATCGGCCACGTACCCTACTCTGTGATACACCCAGGCACACACAGCCCTGTCACAAACTTTATTAACTTTATTGCGGAAACGCGTACAAGCAACCAGTGCTGACTTCCACTTCTCGGCCTACTCCCGTTCCTGCCGTTGCGAGGCCCTCGCCATCTTTTTGATTACGAAACTAGCCACGGAAAACCCGTCCACGAACTGCCTGGGAGACAAGCATGGATCAGATGGACGGCATCTGTCCGAAGCCTGAAGCAGGAGTGCAGCAATACAAGTACAAGATCAGGACGAATTCTCCTTAGAGATATTACCGGCACATAGTCGCAGCATCTGTATCGCATTGTCCTTCCTATCCCAGCAACCCTTTCTTGTGTTATCTTTCTTTGTTTTCAATAGGAAAGGGCTGCTGGAGTTGGATAATGCATATGACTTCTTTTGTCGTCTTCATTAACCACACTTCAGCCAATAGCCGCAAAGTCCTTCCTCTTTCCTTCTCCATATGACCGATCTCTCCCTCCAACCCCAAACGCACGCAACCAAGACTAGCTCACCAAGAACATGGCGCTTTATTTGTCAACCATATTCACATGGCCTGGTTTCGCGCGCCAATCCATATACTTGGCCTGCACAGAAAGACAGAAAGAAGCGCATACAACTTCCTCATCAGTCATGGTGCACGTATACAAGTCAAGCCAGTCTTATGTATGGTCTGACTAAGACGAGGTTCCTACAGTTTAAATGTCGATTGCTGATGGAGAACCTGCCTCTGACGATAGTCAGCTGGTAGCTCGAGGTCCCGGTGGATCCGTTAATCCGAGCATCTTTATAGCAAAGATGACACAACAATCGGTGTCAATAGTATATCAGCAGACTGTATCGCCTGGAGGATGACTTTCACATGGCTAGGTTCTTACAATAAAAGTGGCCTTACTCTTTGCTGCAATTAAGTGCAAGCACGATGGCGATGGTTTCTCGCAGTATCAGCCGGTATATGATCGACCGAGATCTTTAATCACGACTGTGTTGGCCGCGTGTATGCTAGTGGGATGCTCGAGATTGGCGCCATCAATATGGGCCCAAGTACTCACACTTTGGCAGGCAAAGAGAATATGCATGAATCTGGTCTAATGTCATGAGTTCCCGTTCACTCTGGTATTCAAGCACCCCCATGGATCCAGCATTGACGGTACACCTGCATGTTTCCAGGTTTCTAATCGCGTTGGGCCTTACTTACTCTAGATCTTGGGTTTCAGCTTGAGCGCATTGTTAATCGAGATGGGCTTCCTTGGCAGTGCTGGTGAGGGTTCTGTTGGCGTTGGGGACAGGTTGTTAAGCTCAGATGCTTGGCGTTGTGGTTTGCAGTCAATGCGCCAAGTATTAGTTCATACCTTTACACGCTCTCAGGCTGAGCAACAATCGAGAAAGATTGCGTAAGGTTCTATTTGTAATCCGCCTCCTCAATGCTGAGAACCAATACTTGATGCTGGACGTTTTTGCCTTAATCAGAAATCAACCTCACAGAATGTCGGCTGTGGTACGAGCAGGCCACGCTTGACGGCTGCATACGTTAATAGATGCTGTCGAATGTTGAAAACAACAACGAGCTCATTCGCTCTGTGATGTCCTTGAAATAACCCACTATAACAGACAGGCGTCTGCATACAACTCTTCTGTCGGGCGGAGCTGTTTGGCTCTTTCAAAGCGGCTTCTATTTGGATTGATATGTTGTACCATTGAGGGTATATCGCTGTCTCCTTGCTGCGTCCTTGCAACAGTTCCTCTAAAGACTACTGATTCGCTTTTAAAGTGAACTCTATGCTCTTGAGGTACCGAATACCGTGTCGCGTGCTTTTCTCGATTTGTTATTCAGATGGCGAGATAAATAGGGAAAAATGATGATTAGGAAAATAGGCAAAGCAAAACCCAATTCTGTCAGTCCAAGAACGAAGGCCCGAAAAAAGTCGATCGGAAGGGTAAAGCCTCCAATTCAGTGTGCTGAGCACAGCAAACGATGCGGCACAGCCAGGGTATTTCTGTAGAGCATCTCTTGTGGCGCAAGGACGCCAGGACGCGGCCTACTATGCGGCTTTGGAGCCTAAAGGTCTAGGCGGTCTGCACTAGACCTACATAGCAGTTTATAGCATTTATTTGTTTTGCTATTGGCCCGTAGTCTGGGTGGCAACTCGATGAGCGAATACAGAGACCTAGAAACGAGTGCTAATCCAGATCGGTCGAAAAGGGCGATAATCGACTTGTCGCGTTGGCATCGTTGGTTTATTTCTGCCACCATTCAACACCATTATGACAAACAAGGGCCCTAAGGTTCCTAATGGTCTCTGGCGTGGTGGTGTACTTGCTTAAACAACAGGGTTTGCCACCAACTTCAGACACAGCCACCCCAGCGTGCACGTGCCCCAAATCTTTGTTGACTGCACAGCTCTTTTTTCTCTTCTCCTCTCTTTTCTTCTCTTTTCTTCTTCTCTTTTCTTCTCTTTCTTTCTCTTTTCTTCTCTTTTCTTCTCCACTCCTCACTCCTCACTCCTCCCGCTCTCCCTTCTGCACCCTTCACTCTCTTCTGCACCCCTTCACTCTCTTCTGCATTCTTCTCTCTCTTCTGCACTCTTCACTGTCTTGCGCGCAGCGGACAAGACCACCACGGTAAGTAGACCAGCGCGGTAAGCAAACAGAGCTACAAAGCTCTTCCTCTTTTCCTTCCCTGCCAGCTGGCAGCACATTCAAAGCCACAACCACAACCACAGCCACAGCTACTCCTGCTACCACTGCACCCGCTGCACCCACTTCTACTGCCACTGCACCTCCTGACACACACTCCACCTCTGCTTCTCGTCCACTGACCACTTGGCCTTGCTCGGTCACATCCTACCCTGCCCTTCCTCTCCTTCCTCTCCTTCCTTTTGTCCCTCAACAGAGCAGCACTTCTCTCGTCTCTACTCCCACAACGAACCCCCACAAGGTAGGCAAAACGCGTCCACTCCACCTTCCCTTGCACACAACCCACTCCCTGCTCACTTGTTGAGCTTTGTCATTAAGGCGGGGCACCCCAGAGCATTTTTATTTCCTTTCCGTGTCTACGTGGGTGTGCTTTATAAATGCATAGAGTATGGCAGCTAGTATCAGTGCCATTTCGTGTGTGTCGGTTTGAAGAAGATTTGCTGCAGCACAACGGCAGCCAGGCGCAGTGCGACGGGTCCTACCACTGACCTACATGTGGATTCCTCACGCTGTGGAGGATGAAGCATTAGGCATGTCGCACATCATTTAATGTGTGCGGGGTGAGGGTAGGGCCTTAGAGCCACGATCCAACAATGGCCCCCCGAGTGCTCCATTTAGTGACACAACGACACACGCCCACTCTGGTAATGCACTACCCCTTGTTGCTTCATGTACAGCATGCAAGCGCACCACTCCTTCTGCTCATGAGCATAGTGTGCTGGGGTCCTCTTTTGAGCCCATACGGCGCAGCACACTGGGTAGATGGCAAACGCAATACCGTTTGGGATATTTCACAGCGAGCAGCATCCTATATTTGCACAATTTCCTACACTGTTGTTCTTCTTTCCGTTTCCACATCATGTTCTTGTGTGCTCCTTGAGCGCCAAGATGGAGATACGGATGTTTGAAACCGGATGGGTAGCTCGCTGTCCTTTTCTATGTAGTTTGTTTTTCTTGTTTCTCTCTGTTCTGCTGGTTCTCAGTTCCCCAAGGCAAAACAAGAGGGATGGGTTGTGGAAGTTGGCATGTCTTCACAAGCTGTGTGATGTTGACAAGTTGCGTCTGCAGAGCTAACAAATTCTTTCCTCTTTTGCATGTTCTCTCTCTTTATGGTTGCAAACACAACACCGCGAGCACGATGCGCACCGGACCGCGTCGGATGAGAGTATGACGACACCAAAATGGAGTTGGGGTGGCACTGGGATGGCACTGGAACGGCACTGGAACGGCACTGGAACGGCACTGGAACGGTAGCGGGAATGTGCTCAGGGCGATCGAGCAGGGTGATCGAGCAGAGCAGGGCGAATGAACAATACAGTCGAGTAAGGACGACCTGAATGCAATAAACAATCATATCACACATAATATTATACATAACAAGCGTACAGACACTAGCATTGCTAACAAGAGTGGTGTGGAGCTTACTGATTTGAATGCATCACCATGTTATTTCTTTTGTCTTTATCTCTATCTTTGTCTTTGTCGTTACCTTCGTCTTCGTCTTTGCTCTCTTCTTCGTTTTCGTCTTTGTTTTCGTTTCCTTTTTCTTTTTTTTCTTTTGTTTTCATATCGCGAAAGCAGCTGCTACGAGCAGCATCTCATGGTCCTGCAGTCTAGCATGGCCTAGCATGGGAATGCTCCTTCGCTCTTTTCATAACAGCTGTCCTCACAACATAGATATCGCTCTGAAAAAGTCTTCTACTTCTCTCTTCACCCTAGACTCGCATGCCTTGGCCTGCATCGACAATCAACGGCTGTCCCCACTTCCATCCACGGACTGTGTATTCTTACTCAGCGGATACCTATCACTAGATGTGCCACATACGCATCCTGCAACCGCACCCTTAAACAGGTCTGCATCAGCATCGCCCAGCACTCCTCCAACATTCCACGTTTCCGTCATATTTGTGTATGCATACACAAGTCATTTCATAGTTCGATCCGGCGCACTTGATCGCTGCAGCGAGTACAACCTATTCAGACCAAGAACGACACTTGACACTCGGTAGGATGTCTCTTAATGGCGCCTGTAAGCGACGGGGATCGACATAAGGCAAGTCTAAGGTGAGCAAAAGGGCCTTGTCGGGGTAAACGCTCTTTGCCTGTTCCAGGTGTAGTTAGGGTCCTGATATGCTGGGAGGTTCAATGTCGGTAGTGCACTGGAGTGCTGTGGGGACTGAGCGAAGCCTGCTGACACCATGGCATATATATGCAGGGTCCCAAACCTTACATTTGTGTTCCGCTACAATTCCATCTGACGAGAGTGAAAATGGAACGGAAAGCCGTTGGAACGGTCGTTGAAGCGGTTCAAACCTTTCCATTTATGTTTCACTTGTGCTCCGCTTCAGGCACCACACAGCTTACTTCCTCCTGACATGCACAGAAACCCCTTTTACTTGCTCACATCCGCCATCATCCACCCTCGTTTTGACAATAGAGTCTCGCATGGAACCTCAATTGGCTCCTACCAAGCACTCTCTGGTGCAGCAGTCGTCTAACAGCGCTTCCAAAGAGGATGATGTGTGGCAAGGTACTCACTTTTAGGCGCCGTTCACTCGGCACCCCATCATATTCTAAACTTGATGTTCCCAGAGTTAAATATGGCCATTTTTTTTTTACTTTGAAAGGAGTCGGGAAGCCTCAAGACGATCGCAAAGGAAAAGCGGCGAAGGTTAAGGAGATAGCGGTGACGAACGACGCGCTATATGAAACAAAGGGAAGCTGACACTCTTTGATTTACTGACTTTGAGGTCGATATCTGTTCCAGATGGCTTGAAATCGAGGCGAATAGGGCAGTGATCTTTGGGGCAGGCAGTATAAACCGCATAGGTGGAACAACAAGTGCGAGAAATCCTTGGAAGGCGCTGGCTAGCTACTTCAATACAGTGTCCGATGGACCTTGCAACACTGCAGGAAAAGCAATGGGGAAAAGCAATGGGGAACGCACTTTGAGATATAGATACGGTTGCTTCCAAATCAAGGCAGCAATCGGCGGCACTGAGTTCGATGTTGTCATAGCTTATCTTGCTGGAAGAACCTAGATGATCGAACAGGACCAGGAGCATATGTGTCACGGCTACGATAGGATGGATGCTATGTTTGGACGAAAATTGAATGTCGATCCGGTATATGAAGGTAGTTTGATCAAGCAACAGCCTTTGGAAAGACTGCTCGAAGATGCGGTGCTAAGAAGTCTCGAGAGAAGGATGCAGGGGATGCGGAGGATTTTAACAGCGCTGGACATGCGGAAAATATTGAGGATACCACGCGCATCCTGGATTCCGAGGACACTCAGGGCAACAAAAAGGCCTAGAAGCGCGCACTGGCGCCTGAGACCCCTTTCGCAGGACCTGAGGACGTTGATCTTGAAGACCTGGATTCAATACGAGAAAACGCATTGTTGCGAATAGAAGGATGAGGGCCAGTGGTAATCCTGTCTCGGAAAGCAGCTGGGAGCAATCTTTATTAACGCTGGCTAGCCCAAGGTTCATCTCCACGCTCAAACGGCAGCTCTCTGATGGATAAAGCTCCCCGAGCAGAGTTTCTAAACAATCCGACGCACACAGAGCGCCTCCTAAACCGGATACTGGTTGCTTTCATTTCCGTTGACAGATCTTTACGTACTATGTACTTTTCGCTTAGCTTTGGAATCTATCGAAGAGAGGAACCTGCAGTTGGAAGAAGAGATGCTTCAGCCAACACAGAAGATCGCACCAGATACAAACAAGCGCCAGCTTATGAACAGCATTGTTGATCAAGAGCAGCCGTTGGACCAAATTCTGGGGTTTCTTGACGCGACGAAGAAACCCTGGCAAGTACTTTATTATCATGCCGATATCATATCGATATCACTCCAATAAATTACCCTTTGCGCGATTTGTTTCGAGCGTTGTTTCCTTCATGCTCTTTTCGTAGTGTTATAGCGGTCGCTGTCGTATCAGTTAGGCAGGTGTCGAAGGTGAGTGCATACTTCGCATACATCTTTTCCCAAGCATCGTCAAGGGGTGCTGGCGTGTTGAGCAGCGCACAACATGCCATTGCCCATTCAAACAATGACTGCAGATCTTCTTCGTTGCGGATCTATATCCTCATTTCCCTGAGTAAGCTCCACTGAGGTTTCAACACGCCGATACAATGTTCGTCGCGGACACGAGACATAGCCAAGCAATAGCTGAACGCGGTATTGCCAGGGTGGCTCGCTGCATGAGACTTAGTATGCAGGGGTGAAGTACTTTGCGAGTCCATGTGCAGAGTCAACAAGGAGGTTCTCGCTGGGTGAGAAGTGCAACTCCATATTCCGGTATACTTTCATCCGATTGTAGACCTTATAGTCCGCGCGAGATCCTGGGTAACCCGCATGCATCGTCACGATCTATCTATCCACATCGCAAATAGCCTGCATGGCAGCAGAATATCTATTAAAGACAACTGTTAGTAGAGATGAGTAATGAGCAGATCATATCTGGCCATGATGCAAAATTCCGTACCTTTTTTCCTATCAAAGTATACTTCCCCATCCATGGCGGGCTCCTGGGATAGAAGTATAGAAATCCTATCAATGAATCTAGCGCAGTTGGGAAAGCCTTCCTCTTGCATTACTCGACCAATTCCCTCCCTTCATCTCTCGTTCGGCCATGCCGCTCACTCATGCACGATGGATAGCAACGCTGTTATCATCTGCTTTCTGCACAGCTTCATTGTAACCTGTTTCATTCTAAGCTCAAAGGTCGGCTCGAAAACACTTACTTGTTTCCACAGTGTCCAAATCGAGACAAAACGACAGCCAGGTGCTGCTGGGGATGTACTTGGGAGTACGCTGTATTGTTGTGGAACACTGGCAAGCTCGATTAAGATCCATACGGCAGAAAAATCCTCTTTCGTAGTCATAAAAGTCGTGCGACACTGGTCGCTTGAAGATTGAAAAAGACGTTCAGAAGGAAATAATTTTGTCGATTGCATGGTCGTAGTTAATGGATGAATTGAGAATTCGCGGCCATGGCGTAAAGAAGGACTGCATCTTCTTCCTCTTCCTCCTCGCCATCGGCACTTACAAGGGCAATACAAATGTCCAGGTCGGCGATGAGCTGCATACGGTCAGGCACGCGAGGACAAAAACAAAGACGATGACAAAAACGAAGACAAAGATAAAAACAAAGACAAAGACGAAAGAAACAACATGGCGATGCGTCCAAAGCAACAAGCTCCACACCACTCTTGTTAGCAATGCTAGTGTCTGTACGCTTGTTATGTATAATATTATGTGTGATATGATTGTTTATTGCATTCAGGTCGTCCTTACTCGACTGTATTGTTCATTCGCCCTGCTCTGCTCGATCACCCTGCTCGATCGCCCTGAGCACATTCCCGCTACCGTTCCAGTGCCGTTCCAGTGCCGTTCCAGTGCCGTTCCAGTGCCGTTCCAGTGCCATCCCAGTGCCACCCCAACTCCATTTTGGTGTCGTCATACTCTCATCCGACGCGGTCCGGTGCGCATCGTGCTCGCGGTGTTGTGTTTGCAACCATAAAGAGAGAGAACATGCAAAAGAGGAAAGAATTTGTTAGCTCTGCAGACGCAACTTGTCAACATCACACAGCTTGTGAAGACATGCCAACTTCCACAACCCATCCCTCTTGTTTTGCCTTGGGGAACTGAGAACCAGCAGAACAGAGAGAAACAAGAAAAACAAACTACATAGAAAAGGACAGCGAGCTACCCATCCGGTTTCAAACATCCGTATCTCCATCTTGGCGCTCAAGGAGCACACAAGAACATGATGTGGAAACGGAAAGAAGAACAACAGTGTAGGAAATTGTGCAAATATAGGATGCTGCTCGCTGTGAAATATCCCAAACGGTATTGCGTTTGCCATCTACCCAGTGTGCTGCGCCGTATGGGCTCAAAAGAGGACCCCAGCACACTATGCTCATGAGCAGAAGGAGTGGTGCGCTTGCATGCTGTACATGAAGCAACAAGGGGTAGTGCATTACCAGAGTGGGCGTGTGTCGTTGTGTCACTAAATGGAGCACTCGGGGGGCCATTGTTGGATCGTGGCTCTAAGGCCCTACCCTCACCCCGCACACATTAAATGATGTGCGACATGCCTAATGCTTCATCCTCCACAGCGTGAGGAATCCACATGTAGGTCAGTGGTAGGACCCGTCGCACTGCGCCTGGCTGCCGTTGTGCTGCAGCAAATCTTCTTCAAACCGACACACACGAAATGGCACTGATACTAGCTGCCATACTCTATGCATTTATAAAGCACACCCACGTAGACACGGAAAGGAAATAAAAATGCTCTGGGGTGCCCCGCCTTAATGACAAAGCTCAACAAGTGAGCAGGGAGTGGGTTGTGTGCAAGGGAAGGTGGAGTGGACGCGTTTTGCCTACCTTGTGGGGGTTCGTTGTGGGAGTAGAGACGAGAGAAGTGCTGCTCTGTTGAGGGACAAAAGGAAGGAGAGGAAGGAGAGGAAGGGCAGGGTAGGATGTGACCGAGCAAGGCCAAGTGGTCAGTGGACGAGAAGCAGAGGTGGAGTGTGTGTCAGGAGGTGCAGTGGCAGTAGAAGTGGGTGCAGCGGGTGCAGTGGTAGCAGGAGTAGCTGTGGCTGTGGTTGTGGTTGTGGCTTTGAATGTGCTGCCAGCTGGCAGGGAAGGAAAAGAGGAAGAGCTTTGTAGCTCTGTTTGCTTACCGCGCTGGTCTACTTACCGTGGTGGTCTTGTCCGCTGCGCGCAAGACAGTGAAGAGTGCAGAAGAGAGAGAAGAATGCAGAAGAGAGTGAAGGGGTGCAGAAGAGAGTGAAGGGTGCAGAAGGGAGAGCGGGAGGAGTGAGGAGTGAGGAGTGGAGAAGAAAAGAGAAGAAAAGAGAAAGAAAGAGAAGAAAAGAGAAGAAGAAAAGAGAAGAAAAGAGAGGAGAAGAGAAAAAAGAGCTGTGCAGTCAACAAAGATTTGGGGCACGTGCACGCTGGGGTGGCTGTGTCTGAAGTTGGTGGCAAACCCTGCAGGTATCCCACGCTCTTATTCCCTCTACCACTAAGCGGCTCGGTAAAGGTAACGTGAGAGTGCTAATCACAATCGCGCGGAGGACCCTCAGCCGAAGGCATGGGGACACCTGGAGGGCCATTTCATCTGTGGGTTGGGGCCTAAGCAATGCCAGCGTGTGGTCACGAGGTAATAGGGGGTGCCAGCCAGCGCATGCCAGAACGTCAAACCCTGCGCAATGTACGCTGTGTGCTCATGTCTGGTGCATAAATGGGAACAGAGTCAGCTGGCCTGAACCTTTCTGTCTTCCGGTGACGCGTGTTTTGTTTAAGCATTTATCTCTGCAGGGGGGTTTTTTTAGGGCCATAGGAGGATCGCAAATGGCGAACATGCTGTTCGTTCGGACCTCTTTCCCTATGTATCCAAGATTGGAACCAATGGAAGTGATGAAAGTTGAAATGATGGTAACAAGGATCTTCCAGTCCGAACGGGCAGAGTGGCCTTGCAGGCGAGTAAGCAACATCCCACACATCGCGTTATCTGGGCTTGCTGCACGCATGCTTCATTGTGCTGGATGCTGGACTGGACCTGCCCGAGGGAGGACAACTGTAGACCTCAGAGCGAGCCCCTGCAGCGTAGCCTCACCAGGTCAAAGCATTGGAGTGTTGCATGCCGTTCTCCTTTTCTGGCCTCCATACCACTTGCAGGGAAGCGAAGATTAGGATCTACGCTTTCAGAAACATGAAAACGCCTAGATGCTCTTGTTTATGCATCTCGATTTTCTTTTCTATTTTCCGGCGCAAAAGTTTCGACAAAGGAACCAATTGCGGAGACGCGGTTCGCGTGCAAGTTAGAATATTAGAGTACTTTTCAGCCCAAGAACAGCGGTTGAGCTGTTCGAGGGAGAGGAAAAAGGCAAGCAGCAGTCTTTTGGTTATTTGCTGTGTTAGTAACCAAGGGCCTTGGCTTTGTCTGTGTATGACCATACATGTCCACATAGCAAATCCACTAGCTGTTATACTATAGATCGAGATTTATGAACGGGATAGACTAGGCTTTCCTCCCAAACTTCTACCTATCATTTGAAATGGGTCTAATATACAGGGAACACTATATCGATTATGCCTTCTTTTGAAGAGGCCTCCTTTCACCCTCCTGCGGGAGCACCTTTACAGCGCCACGGTTCTCCGCCAGGGGTAACCAAGCAATCTGAGGACGATATTCGAATGTCTTTATGAAGCTCCATTGCGTGATGAAATTGGGCACGTAGTTCAGCACCACGTTGCGGAGTATCCGCTCTGACCAGGTCTATTCGATACAAAAAAGATGCATGTGCAGTTGTCAGTTGCCTAGATGAGGACTCACGATGCATTTCTCCGCGGTCTGTAATCCTTGTCCGCTTACCTGGCCACCGAGAGTCTTGGACATGCTGCTGCTGCGCTCAAACTGCAGCTCTGTGTGACTGAAGCGTTGCTTATAGTACTCTTCAAACGCGTCCGTGATACTGCTCGCGCTTGCATCGGGCATGTTGTATATGCAGTTTGCAAGCACGACGGCATCAAACATCGCATTCACCGCTCCTATAAAGATATAGAGTATTTCGTGCCATCAGTACCTCTGCTATACAGTTGAAAGGAGGTGCACTTTTTTTCATTCCTATTATGTACCTTGACCGGCACCCGGAAGCATCTGTTTCAGCAATCAATGAAAATAAAAGGTGTTAGCAACAACCCGGTAGAATCAAGGCATAAAAAATATTCTTGTAGTATTTACCTTGTGGCAGGCTGAAGGGTATTCCCATGCGATGGAGATAAGAAATAGATTGTTCAGCGTTTGACTGCATACCGCACAGATATAGAGCAACATAGACTCTCAAAACCACTTACCATCACCAATAAGAACCGTCCGTGAGTGGTACCACGTCTTGAAGAGCTTTTCCTCGAGGAACACCTTTGAAATCAACTCCTTGGGTGTTGCATCGAAGATATCGCCCATCTTGCCGCCCCAGGGACAAGGTTCCTCATAGAACTCCTTGAGCATGGCGTCGTTCGCTTCAGGACCCCACTCGGAATTGCGGAATGCATGGTCCTTGGCCTCTGCAGCTGAGAGCTGGTAGCTGAGCATGAAGCAGATCTGATTGCCGGGCACACTGAATACACCCCACTAAAGGAATAAAGGGAGAAGAAAATCAGTCCTTCATGTCGACGCAAACATAGCTGGCCTACAAACATTTGGTACTATCCAGTGATGGAATGCTGTCCACCTACACTACGAGCATCAGGTCCATGAACAATTGAGTAATGTGAAATGTCGTCCTTCAGCTGCGGGTACTTTTCTGGATTCGACGGGTTGGCGACACCGACCATGCTCACATATCCAACCGAAAGTTTTTCAAGATCTTTTTTGGGAAGGATACCCTTCTCATCCATCTGCTTATACAGACTGTGGCGCACGCCGCTGTAGGCACCGTCTGCTCCGACAAGGATATCTCCCTCATAACTGGTGTTGTCGGAGCAATGAATGATAATCCTGCCTTCTTTTTCTTCGAAGCAAAGGAACTTCTTGTTGAGGCTCATCTTGCTGGTGGGAACCTGCTTCAGCATGAGGTCATAAAGCTGTGGTCTTGTAAACAGCAAGTTCTCGTTCCCGGCACTAGCGTAAAAAAAAAAAAAAAAAGAACGACAGGGTATGGTTGGTGGAATGCTGCAAAGCGTGCAAATGTTTGTGATCAAGCCAATGGACGTTCTGAACTTACACTGCTTTATGCGACGACAGATCGATTGCACCAATCTTCTTCATGTCACTGCTGTACATATCTAGGGACTGACAGGGCAGCGAGAACTTATTGATCTCCTCCATCAGACCCAGTTGCTCAAAGACAGGAATGATGTTCGGACCAATAGTCATAACAGATCTTTTGATAAAAATTGAGGATCGAGTAAGCTTTCGCCACTGGAATGAATTGTTCCTGCACACAGCAGACAAATAGGAAAGAAATGTCTTGTTACCCAAGAGCGCGCAGCTCGGTGGCCCGTTCGAGGATATGGTAAGGAACACCGATTTGTTCCAACAGGTTGCCTAGCATGAGGCCGCCGAGACCGCCTCCGACGATCAACACGCTTGGAACACGTTTTGGCTCAGGGGCCGCTTCGGACATTTTCTTTTCTTTTTCTTGGAGATTTGCGAACTATGGGACAACGGAGGACAGAGAGAAAGAGGGAAAGAGGGAAAGAGGGAAAGAGAGAGGAGAGGAAGAGTGAATGAGAGAGAAATGAGAGAGATAGGATCTCGAGCAGTAGATGAGGAAGGAGCTGCAGCTCATTCCAACAAGTCTAAACCATGGTTCAATGTTCCACAGGTCTCACAGCATTCCTTTCGATTTTTTCGATCGGGAGTCAACTTAAATATGCATGTGCTGGAGTAATGGCAGAGGGAAAAGCCGTTGATCTTTCACATAGCTGCAAATCATGGCCCATGGTCACCACCATAGCAAATACTCAGAGGGCTGCTGACCACCTTCCTCCTCTCTCTCGAACAGCTCGACACCGCTGTACTTGGCCTGAAAGTTGCTCTGGTATTCTAACTTGCACGCGAGCTGCGTTTCCACAATTGATTCCTTTGTCGGATCTTTTGTGCCAGAACAAAGAAAAAAGAAAAACAAGGTGCATAAGCAAGAACATCTGGGCGTTTTCATATTTGTGAAAGTGTAGATCCTAATCTTCGCTTCCCTGCAAGTGGTATGGAGGCCAGAAAAGGAGAATGGCATGCAACACTCCAATGCTCTGACCTGGTGAGGCTACGCTGCAGGGGCTCGCTCTGAGGTCTACAGTTGTCCTCCCTCGGGCAGGTCCAGTCCAGCATCCAGCACAATGAAGCATGCGTGCAGCAAGCCCAGATAACGCGATGTGTGGGATGTTGCTTACTCGCCTGCAAGGCCACTCTGCCCGTTCGGACTGGAAAATCCTTATTGCCATCATTTCAGCTCGCTATATGCTATCTTCCTTCTATCGGCCTGAAAAAATTATAAAAACAGAAAACTAAGTTCTCGTCATTTATTTTCACAGCGAACCAAGGCTGCTCCATGGACAGAGATCGCAGATTGGAGCAGTTGGTCTGTTCTTGCAGATACCCAATAACCACTGCGCCCTCTATGAATCAGCAGAAGGGAGCAAATTGGGGGGCTATTTACTAGATGGACTATATCCCTTTCAGAATGACAGGAACAGTTCAACAAGGAGCTCGCATTGATGATGCCCGAAATGGTGAAGAGCCGCGACAATAAAGCTTACTCCTCGTGGAATTGTTCTATATACGCCGAGCGTGGGCGTTCCTCGTTGGATGTACTTGATTGCGTACGAGAAGGTCGATGTAGATATATGCACAGACATGTGCATGGTCATCGTCTGTATATAAAATGAGAAGCCCTTCTTTCTTTTTCCCATATTCTCCCACACGCCTGCCTCGAATCCTAGGAATTCGTGCTTGGGTCTGAACAATATGCCACCATGAAGGACGCGATCCCACGCGCTCAAGTTTGCAAGGAGTGGGAAACTCCGACTTTGCCTCCCCTATATGGTTATACCATCACACTTGATCCATACAAAACTACACGGCCTTGGCCAGGACACCATCGCAAAGTACGGGTATTACATCCGCGTCTGTCAAGAATACCAAGGGAGCAATCACATCTGGATGTCGCTCAAATGGGCTAGGCTGCCCAGCGTATGGTAACCTCACCATCCACATGAACTATATATTTGACCCTTGAGCACAGTGCTACAGCATCATTCGTTAGCACATTAGGATCCTTGAGCATCTGGAAATCAACTATAGTACATGCTCCAGGCACGGTGCTTTACATCGACGACCTGTTTCTTTCTTCGACCATGGAGTCGTAATTGCAACTATCGTACATCATATATCGAATTCAGGAACTGTAAAATCCTATGCAAGGTTTCAGTACTTCTGATCAACATCCTATATATCCTCTTAATTTGACGCCCCCAGTCTCACAACTTTTCAAATTGGTTCAGTAAACATCCAATGTGCCGATATTTTTGCCTCACCTTCCAAACCTCTTAATGCGGACACAAGGCTCAGTACTGCGGTGGATCTGTTGGTCCACGTCCTCAAGGACTCGAAAGAGGTCTGTGTTGAATACAATCCAAATAACTCCGGATATGCTCATAACACTACTCTCTTCACTGCGATACGCTTGGATATTTTGACACGTCGTTAGCGCAGTTTATTGGGGGAAAATAGGATGGGCCCTTCCGCATTTGACGCCTCCAATCTATATGACCTACCGCCTACTGCCACTTCCGCTTGCTGTGCTGCTCATGGTCCCACTCCGAACACGACCTATTGGCCTAGATATCGTCTCTGCAATCAACGCCGTCGTCTCATCATCGCTCTCCGTTGTTTCCTGCGCTACTCCTGAGGCTCCAGTGGTACGAGAAGACACAGTGACGCTCGTATAATGTGGTGGTGCCTGACCCTGTCCCTGCGGTGCCGAAAAGTTTGACAGCGAGATATGCTGCTGCTGTTGTACTGAAGCGACCATCTTGCCATATTCTGAACCGCTCTCGCCTGCCCCATCGCCTTCCTCAATCTGGACCAGCACTCCTGCTGCCTCGATCCTCGCCCTGGACTGACTTGACTGCAAAACAGGTCGCCTGATTGGTGGGGCTGGTGACATGGCCGATCCGGCCTCCAATAGAATAGACCCCCGCTCACTGCCGTATGCGGGCGGTGGCACCAGTGAGCCATTCGCAGGCGCAAGTCCCCACTTTTTCACATTGGCCTCGACAAAGACAAAGCCTGATTGACCCAGATTGACATGTAAGACACACGGTCCCGTTGCGCCGACGGTCGGAAATAAATTGAACCTTAGTCCAGTATACGCATCCTCCATTCGTTTGCCGTTCCGTGTGAAAAAAATGGTTCCTGTCCGTGGACGGTACCCACAGCCGATGACATCGCCCTCAAAATAGACAGGTCCGTATGGATATCCACTGAAAGGCGAGTTGCAGTACTTTTGTCCGTCCTTTGAGCAGTAGGCGACCGAATGGCGAGTCCATCCTACGTGGTTGACATTATCAGCAGGAGAAAGAGCAGGTCAAAATCCTTTCTTTTTTACTATTGTCCATAAAATGGTCCGATCATCGTGTCACGTCCGCACACGCCAGCCAAGGGCCAGAGTTGAGCAGAACAGATGCACAAACAAAAAGTTGCATAATCCTTGTGGGCAAGTTGTGCTCTCAAATGCATTAGCCCCCCATCCATCTAAACAAAACCCTTGTATTGTTGTGTTTTTTTTCAGATTCAGCCCGCAGCAACTTGGGCAATTGCTCGGCATCAGTCGAAACTTACCAGGCAACCTCGTATTGGGATATGGCTTTGTCGAGACTCCGACAGAGACGACGGTGTCGAGATTCTTTTCAAACATCTTGACTTCCCAGTAGTAGACTTCCTGTTGCTTGGGCATGGGCAGATTGGTCTGGACCGAGGCCTCGAGTTGGTTCATGAGCGGAAATGAGAGCTCTGTCCTGTCATGGACCTGCACCCTGTGGTTGTCATACGAAGCCTCGAACTCCCATGCAGAGACGCCCTTTTCCTGGATAGACAGATGCTGTGAGAGCGAAATGTCTGTTGGAACACTCAGCGGCGGGTGGACGGCTTGGAAGGCTACATTGAGCCGGTTATGTCATTGGCATCATAGAGTTTGGGAGCAGAAAAAAAAAAAGGGTCAGATTGGGTGGGGTTAATTGCGCGGTCTGAGTAGAAGGCGTACAGTGCTCTAGTCGACTTTTGTGTTGTCCTGGTTGCTATTCCATATCCCATGAGTAATAAAGAAAGAGGTCGGCTGACGAACAGGGGAGAGATCTCCAGGCTGCTCCTGTCGCCCTGATCATCCAGAGCGCCCTCCTTGCATGGTGCTGACCCGTTTGTAGATACTATCGTAATAACCAAGCACAGCAGAAGCAGCTCCTTTCCGCTCCCCTTCAGGAGAGGTCTCTGAGTCAAATGGTCGTTATTCTCTCCTATCCCGGGAATAATCCATGCCATTCATTCCTGCCCTTTTTTTTTTTTTTTTTTTTTTTTTTTTTTCCCGCGGAGCAACGCCTGTTTTGTGCTGCTAATCCGCTGTGTGTTGCGTACACAGTAGATAGAGAGGAATGTCCATGTTCTACTCTCAAGGTAATCCTGCTACCAGGCTACTGTGCTCCGTGGAGTAGACGTTGTTGTCCTGTTGTCTTGTTGGTGTTATGAACGCAGTCCATGGCATCGTATTGAATTCCAATAATAGACTGCGGTGAATGTTAAAGACGGGAGGAATGCATTACCTCTGGTGGAATCGAATGCCTGCCGCTGGGCTTCTGTCATGAGTGCCCAGCGTTCGTCATTCTCGTTCAGTCCCTGGTCTGGATCAGGATCGTCTTCACCAGGGACCTGGTGTGGGCCTGAGCCAGGATAGCGAGATGGTCCTCTGCCTGGTCCATGTCCATGTCCGTGGTTTCTGTGGGCTCCTCCATGACCGCTATTGCTGCTGGAGGCAGAAAGCCAGTTGACCTTCTGGCCGCAGGTGCGGATAATGGATGCAAGCGAGATCAGGAGGGCTGATGTCAGTACAACAGCGAGCAGCCAGGTGATGTCCTCGTCTTCTCCATTTTGGGATAGATTCTGAGGATCGTCAGAGGCGGGGGAGGAGAATGGAGAGGGTATTGAGGAGAGCGATTGTGGTGCAGTAACTGGATCGAGGTAGGAGGGCGGCCGTTCTGGCTGTTTCCGCAGTTGCTGGTTCCGGCCCTGAAGGAGATCGGCGGCATCGAGCTGTCGCTGCCAGCGGTCGAAAGTGCCCTGGGTGTCGTAATTCTGGTGGCTGTCTCTCCTCAGGTGACGACGAGTTCGTGAGGGGTGTGGCATGTTCGATAGGTGAAATGAGAATATGGGGATGAGTGATAAAGACAGAAAAGAGAGAGAGAGAGAGAGAGAGAGAGAGAGAGAGAGAGAGAGAGAGAGAGAGAGAGAAAGAAAGACGACGATGACGGCAAGAGAGCGGGAGTGTTGCGGACTCGAGAGGGAGTGAGGAGCGGAAGAGGTGGGGAGGGAGGGAGGGAGGGCGGGAGGAAGGTAGGAAGGTAGGAAGGTAGAAAGGTAGGAAGGTAGGAAGGAAAGAAGGAAAGAAGGAAGGACGCCCTCTTTTCAGCTATGCAGGACGACGTCAGTTGGCAGTATGGAGAGACTGAAAGGAGTGAAGAGCGAGCTGGGAAATAAGGTCGGTGTTGCCAATGGTCGGGTGTGAGGATGGTCAAGGGCCAAGTCCCAAGCCAGGCCAGGCCAGGCCAGGCCAAGGAAGGCTCAGTCGGCCCTCTCAGCTGAGAGGTCACTCCTCCCGTTTTTGCCTGGTTGGTCCAAGCGACTTGGCTTCCTTTTCCCGGTCTGTGTTCCGTGGACATGCAGATCCAATCGAGCGATTGGTGCAGGTGCAAGGATGTGCAGCACCTTGACCTTGCTTACTAAGGCCGCCCCCTCTCTTTTCAGGTCATTCCCTGGTGCAGCAGTGCCGAACATAGGGAACATGCCCTTCTCTATATCCCCTCTTTCACCCTCGACTCGCGCTTCGTTGTCCATGGTCCATACCACGTGTAAGCACACACGACTGTGTAGACTATATTTATAGGCCTTGCCATTGCCATTGTCATTGTCATTGTCACTACATGATGTACGTAGATGTATATATATATCTATGTCTATAATGGCTATAATGGTATTGCAATTGCTTTTCCCAAATGAAAATGTGGAGTATGGACCCTTTTTTTATTCTCTCTCTGATGGCTGCAATCCAATTGGGCAATTTCATTTCGGCAATGGGATTGGGCAATTGGGAGATGCGTTGTAAATGCGATGGCGATAAGATTCTGTGAGATAATCATCAATTGAAAAAAAAAAAAAAAAAAAGAGCGAGAAATAAAATGGCAACACGCCCTCGCGGTGCTTGTTTTGCTTCTTTCACTTTGTGTCTGTAAGTTTCGTCCCTGTTTGGTTTTATGTCATTCGATCTTGTGTCAAACGAGATCAACGATCGCCTGAGGATCATCCATAAACCACCATCACGCTCATCATCAACAACAAAGACAACGAGAAATGAACCCGAGAGAGGATGGACATCGCACCGAGGGAGCTTCCCCATCGACAACCACAACAGTCTGAAGTGCTTAACGATCTCTTCAACGGATCAGGAGTCAATCCATCCGAGGAATGATTGTCTCTCCTCGATCCGCGTTGTTCCCACATATACACCCATATACACATCCTTTCAGCCTCACGTTCTCTCTCGATCAACACCTCATCCCACACGCAGATCCAATCCCTGGACTTGTTGATCAACTCCTCAGATCGATCCTTCAAAGATCAAAGGATCAACCGCGTCTAACCCCTCTATGCGTCTCCCTGTCTGTCTGCCTCTCTTGTCATAGCTTACCCCCTCACACACCAATAATCAACCATGTCTGATGCTCCTATTGAAGTCGAGGTCGCCGCCGACACCACCGCCCGCGGCCAGATGTCCGTCGAGGAGGCTCTCCAGGACGTTTTGAAGCGTGCCCTTGTCCACGACGGTCTTGCCCGTGGTCTCCGTGAGTGCGCCAAGGCTCTTGATAGGTAATGACTCCTTTGTCTATCGCACCCTTTGCTTTTCAATTGCTCTGTCGCAGATGATATCCCTTATCGACCACGATGGCAATCGAAAAGAATGAAAAAAAAAAGTTTCTCAAGAGCAATTGCTAACATTCTTTTAATTTTCCAATTGCTTCCTTCGTTGTAAACAGACGCCAGGCCCACATGGCCGTCCTTGTCGAGACCTGCACTGAGAAGGAGTACATCAAGCTCGTCGAGGCTCTCTGCGCCGAGCACAACATCAACTTGATCAAGGTCTCTGATGCCAAGAAGCTCGGAGAGTGGGCTGGTCTCTGCAAGATTGACCGTGAGGGTAACGCCCGCAAGGTCGTCGGCTGCTCCTGCGTCGTCGTCAAGGACTTCGGTGAGGAGTCCGAGGCCATGAACGTCCTCCTCGAGTACTTCAAGACCCGTTAAAGAGCTTATCTATTTCTATCTTTTTGCAAAAATCAAAAAATACAAAGCTCCTTTGTTCTTTTGTTCATTGATGCTGTACTTTTGTTTTTGTTTTTTTGCATGAAAAACGCGTCTTTCGCTATCAACGGTTGGATGGATCTCTTTTAAAAGGAGTAGTTAGAGGAAAGGCGAAGGAAGAAGAGGGAAAAATGACGCTGCCGAGTGAGTTTGACCTGTTTATGCCCACTTTGTTCGACAATCCGCATCCTCGTACCACATATCACTCATCCAGACAGTGTGTGATCAGAACGGGGGACGGACTACATCGGCCTTACCGTCACTTTCATATAACGGACATGAAAAAGCCTTTTGTAGTGTATGGTTGACTGGCGCCAGGCCTCTATTTATTCGTGGGTGCTCCCTCCTTCTCCCTTCCTCCCTCTCTTCCGTTTCCTCAGTACTCCCTCCTACCAGCAGCCGTCTTCCTTCATCCAGACTCATCATCGCGCTCCTATCACCATCAGCACTTGCGTTTACATTGCACAGATATGCCCAAAGTCTTTTCTGATCACTACTTTCTCCACGGACTCCGTCTTGACCGTCGGTACGAGTTCAGGGTCGTCTACATCTCGGACATCGACTACCAGTGGGTTGAACTCAACATCCTTTGCCCCTACCGCTCCTCTTACCTCCACCATATCCTCAACGCCTTACTTTATCTCCGTCTCTCCTCGCTCGAACGCCGCCAACAGGACATTACCGAACATGAACAAGCTACGGTCCTGGAACGAGTCTCGATTCTGAATATCTCTATGCCCTCCAACTCGCTCAACCGCCCATCCCACTCCCTCACGCTAGATCAACAATACCAACGCGAGATCGCCCGCCAGAAGCGTGTCCAATGCCTGGTCCATGGCGATGACACCAACATTGATCAGGACATGTGGCGACTGTATCATCTGTGTCACGAAGTGCGCGCTGAGGAAAACAACTGGATCAACCAATACGGTCATGATCGAAATCTGATCCGAAGGGCCTTCCCCGTGAACAACCCACGGTTGCAACTGATGCTGCGAAGCGACGGGCATTATCTGAGGATTCGACCGGACGTGGAGCTCTTTTCAGAGTACCACGAGGTGCCCGAGGGTGAGGCCAGTCCGCCATCACCGATTCTGTCGTTGATGCCTCCACAATACAACTCTTCCGGACCTGAGCAGGCGTCGACGTCGTCGTCTTCACCGTGCTTGGCGTCTTCGTTGTTGTGTCTTTCACAGACCCCGGAGGATGAGGATATGATGGCGCTGGACGAGGCCTGTCTTCGGTGGAGCGAGCAGACTCAGCGGCAGCAGGAGGAGGAAAAACCTCAGCTGCAACAGGGGCAGATGGGGGGGGCCATGGTCGCTGAGCTTACGGAGGCGACTACCATAACGGTCGAAAACGGATCTGAATACACGCTCGTGGAACTACCAAATATCGAAGGCTTGAGGATTCAAGAATAGGTCCACTCAAAAGGCGTGCTCGCGTCTTGTTTGCTTGATTCGGACTACATTTGCACAGCAATATTTTTTCATTTGAAATAAATACGCCACTAACTTTGCATTATATATATATATATATATATATATATATTTTTGGATATTACAAATGTGATGTGATTTCTACAGAACACGCGCCCACTTTTTTTTTCTTTTTTCGTGTTCGCGTCCCATCTCAAAGCTCATCCAATGCTTCCTCATACGTGAATTCCTCCCCTTTGATCGTGTCTGGGTACAACCGCATCCTGACATAAAACCGCCAGACCACGAAATACATGTATCCGTTCAGCACCCAATCTACCGCCAGGCCTACAATGAACGCCAGGACGAACGAATCGATCGGCGTGTTACAAAAAAACGAGTTCGGGGTCCCCTGTGCCGGGCGCTCGTTACTGTCGAGCCCATTAAGACATTCGTCCGCGATACGACCTCGGTTCCGTTCCAAGGTGAAGGCCACGAGTCCGATCCTTGCTGCAGAGACGAACGTGAACAGCCATTGTGTGTAGACAAACATCCTTGCCAGCATGTATGAATACTATATTGTTTTTTTTTTGTTGTTGTTGTTGTGTATTGGACGCGTGAGACAAGAAAGCTGTTAGTGCAGTGCTTTGTTTCATCTTGAAATGCCTTCTTGAAATAGATGACGGCTATCTTTTCAGACGAACGGCTTCTTTTCTTTTCTTTTTTTTTTCAGGAGAAGGAGGAGGAAGGGAGGGAGGGGAGGGATACCCTCTCATCAGTATAGCTTACATCCCAGAAGGCAAAGAACGCGATCAGCGCGGCGCCACCTTGAAGAACCGAGAAGCCTCCCAGGAAGATCACCAGGATGGACGAGAAAAAGAAAAACGAGCCCCAAAGGAAGAGGAAGGCGGCCCCGATGACACTGAGCAGGAGACAGAGTCCTGACAGCCACATGCCACCACCCCGTAACGGCAGGCAGAAACAGCAGTTGCTGAAATGCATGTTTTTTTTTTTAGCTGAGCTGAGCTGAGCTGAGCTGAGTTGAATAATAATGCGGTGGAGACGTAAAACGAAATGCGTGTTGACAACCAACTATCGTGGATAAAAAGTGTTGGTTTTATAACTAGGAGGTCCTGTCAAAGAAAAAATAGTCGCATAGTGAAACAAAGAGGAGGAGGAGGGATTGAGGAACACGGTATTATTGAAAGCTTTTTTTTTTTTTTTTTTTTTTTCAGAAAAGCAGCGTTTGGTGCCGTGCAATGTTCAAAGGCTGGAATAGATACAAGGGTTTATCAAGGAGTTCGGATGGCTGTGTGGGGTATGGATGTATAGGGAGTGGATAAAAAAAAAAAAAAAAAGCTGGAATGACTTAAAAGACTAGAAAGACGCGAAGTGAGCTGGAAGTGGAGGTGGTATAATAAGAGGGAGGAAACCCTTCGTTGAAGAAAAGGTGACGAGACATAGAGCATCATTTTTATACACCCTTGTGCAGTAAAATGTTGATGCGTGTAACCAACAATGAGCGATCGCTTGTAAATGCCTCAGTGGGTTCTTTGGACCTTCTTTCAGGAACATGACATAAAAGAGGGGGGAGGGGCCGCTTGGACGGTTGGACAACCGTGGTTCTCGCGGTGCTGCTTTCTGGATAAAGAAATCGCGCATCACAATGTTCGGTCTGCAAGAAAATAGGGGGGAGAGGAAGTATATTGGCGGTGGCCTGACGGTCTATATACAGATTGCATGCAAAGCGCCTTAGCCTGCAGACAGGTCGGCCAGACCGAACGCGCGTGATGTGACCGTAAATCGCGCATCCAAGAGCACTCACCATCCTCAGCTCTTTATACTTTTGTCCTATGCCAAAATGGACATTGTTTTATTTTTTTCTGTACAGTAAAGAAGGCTATTTGGTATATGGTTTGGACTAATTCAGACTTAGGCTGTCCAAGTGGTAGTTCCTAGCCAAACCTTCCGTAGGTTCCTAAACCTCAAAAGATGTCTCACGACGCGTTCCTCAATTGGCTCGCTCTCCTTCGAAAACGCGCGTATCTGAGTACCCCAACCGTTGATTTGAACACGTCCTTGACTCGAATCTGTATCTCCTACAGCGCTTGGGATCAACTTGCGTCTCTCGACCCACATCTGCAGTGTGTGATTGATCTTTTCCGGAGTATCGAGACTCATGAACCTCATGTGAAGTTCCTCTAATCCCGCGCACCCCCAGGGTAACACCTCCGGACCTCTGATATCCGCAATGTGCAATGGCATGTCCAGCACCTTCAGGCCATGACATCTATAGGCCATCACATGGACCATCGCACCTTCTTCCGCACGTATATCTTCAAGATCAAAATAGCTATCTCTCTCATAGCAATCCTCCGACTTCTTGTACATCCTGACGACCTGTAAGGTCTCATAGTGGTGGAAAATGTCGGGGAAGTAGACGTTCTCATAGGATACACAAATTTCTGTTAGGTCCTTGAAGACCTCCATCAGCAACCCATGAGAGGCCGTCGACAGAGCTCGGAGGGACATGACCTGCGGAGAAAACTTGTCGACGTAGTACTGCATCATTTCATAGGTCGTAAACGGTTCCAGGTGCTCAAAGGATCCTGTGTCGTACTTTTTGAGGTTCGGAAAATGTGCCAGGAGCGGGACCTGGGTGACATCATCCGGGTCCATGTAAAAGACTTGACGCAGGTCTGCACAAAGAGTCTTGACGGAGGGGGTTTGATGGATGTGTGAAATGACGCCATCGATCATGATCGTGTCGTGGATCTCCAAGTGCTCCAGGACCGGACAGTCCGCAAGCATGCATGAGAAGGTCTCCCGCACCATGCCTAGGCCGTGGAGCTGCATATGCGTTAACCGTGAGAATATGGGCACTCCGAGACCAAGTCCGACGATGTGTGAGAATGAGTAAGCAATCATCCGCTCGCCTGCCTGGAAGCTTCCGATGATCCCGACCGACTTTAAGCAGGCGTGGTTGTGGGCAAGCACAAAACTGGCGTACCTTGCACAGTCCTCTGAGGAGTCCATGATCAGATCTAGGCTCTCGAGATTAGAGACACTAGAGGACTGTAGGAGCGACATTTTAAAGGCTGTTTGAAGGTGTTTGACGACTCGGATGTGGTGGCCGTATTTGTTGAAGACCTTGACGTCTGGAGCATCTTTGTTGTCAAACATTTGGAAATCGAGGGTGTGCCATACTTGAGGCGCAAAGTCCTTGGACCAGTCCTTGCTCACACGCGCACAGATCGATGCTGTCGAAGGGGAGATGTATCGACTAATATGAGCTCGTAGTTCTGGCAGCTCTAGAGGGTTCATGGTTGGTGAAATTACGAGGATGAGGATGTGGGATGGTGCAAAGATGAGAATGACCAGGAATGATCAGGACGAATCATATTCTAATTCTGTCATCTTTCAGAGCCAGGGTGAGGGTGAGGTTAAATTTTGACCAATCAGGGCCAAGATTATGGCATAAACGGTGTATACTGGCAAAGATACGCCGTCGGGCTTTTTAGAGGACGGAGCATTCCAGGAAAAAGACAAAGAAGCAGACCATGCGGAGCAGGAGATTATATAGAAGCGACTCCTTATCCGGAACGGAGGTAGTAACCGTTGAGATCGGAACGAAGCTGATGCTTTGGCTCAACAGCAAGAGGAGGGAGACCGGGCCAATGCTTACGTAAGTTTCATATTTCAGGGAACAACAATAGCCCTCTGGGCATCAGCGTAACGGCAATCTTGAGCCAGGAAAGCAAGAGATCATATGTAGGCGATTCTGTACCCGGAACAGACGACATCAAACAAGCGGGATCGGGGGCAGGGGCAGCATATTGGATCAGTACCGCTGCTTACGGCATTCTACATTTGCAGAAATAGCTACTGCAGTATGTTCCATAGACCATTCGGTATTATTAAAAGTCGAACCGCGTTGCTTCCATGATTGAGAACGCCTAATTAACTGTTAACGCCCACAATTGCTTCGCCATCCATCCCGTACGTCATGGCGCACGTTGGTGTTGCCAATTAGCGGTTTAAAACTCAGAACCGAGTACTCTCTTAACCGGACAAGGTGTGGAATACCGATCTATATAAGGGAGGCACTCCCCCTCCCAAAGAAAAGGATAAAAAAACCCTTCTCTTTCTCTCCTCATAGCCTACAGCACTTTATGGTCTTCCGCCACTGATGCTCATTAATCCTTCTTTTCATACTTTTCATTACTAAGAAATGGAGGATTGGTACCTCGATGAAAGCCACAGGTGTACAGAGGAATGGGAAGACTTGGAGATCGAGCAATACATCAACTGGGACCACACCTCGGTCGACGGTCTAACAACCATGCAAGTCGAGCGCCCGAGCAACAATGGAGTCTCCGCTGAAACAGCCCGTCATCCGATAGAGGTAGCTGTGCCGGTCTGCTATTTTAATGGAACTGGCTTTGAACAAACACTTCCGTTCGGGTCTGCTGAAGGTCTCCCTATGGATGCACAGGTGGTGGGCATAGCCGGCGCCGGCGGCTTTTCGAACATCACCGGGCTTTCCCTTACAACTGACGCCTGGTTCGTGGATGGTGCACCGTCGCCCTACACTCCACCCACCTATGACGCTCAATCACAGCTATCATCACATCTGCAGGCTCAAAGCATTTTTACGCCTGATTTACAGTGGCAGACGCAAGAACAGCAGCAGCCTGGATCGACAATTCAGGTTTTGCATGGACAGGGAATACAACCACAAAATCATCCACAGGTTTACCAACAGACGGTCACACCGATTACACAGGAGATTTGTTCACCACCGCAGCAAGCTCAGTTCGAGCTGACCGAGCAAGAGCTGCAAAAGGCCCATTATCAGTTACTACAAGTTCACCCATCCCTGTTCGCATCTTACGCCACTCCATTGTCACCCCAGCAGGTAAGCTATAGAGGTTCCCGTTTTTGTGCCTGATATATATCCTTATGGGAGTGTACTAACCACGGTTGAGCTTGTCGTGTATCGATCGTAGAACGAAGTGTTGAAACCGACATCAGATCCCGCCCTTCCAGAACAATATGATGCGGCCCCCTCCTCGGCGTCATCTCTAGGTTCCGACGCGCAGATACCAACTCCTCCCGAGCATCAGATTGAGAGCGCACAAAGACGAAGGCACCACGCTTTGAAGCTGCATGAAAAGCTCGATGTTATCCACTACTGGGAGCAAAGTCGTTCCAAGAGTGTTAAGGAAATTACCAACCGCTTCAACATCCCACACTCGACTGTCTATGACATTATCAATGACAAAGAGCGGCTTCTTGCTCACGAGAGGATGGCAAAATCAGATCTTTCTGTTTTGAACAAGAAACGCCTAAAACACAGCTTTTCTGATGTGCTCAGGGATCTTATGGTGGTGTGGTCCAACGATCTACGGTCTCGGTGCATCCCGATCACCCGCAAAAAATTAGTTGCCCAAGCGTTCGAGACCCAGCGGATGCTCTCCTGCCTGCTGCGACAACCAGTGAAGGCATACAAGTTCACGTCCGGATGGATCACGAGCTTCAAGAAGCGCCATCCCTTCGATTCCGTACTCATCGACCAGATTCCGATAGAGGACATTGCTATGGACCGCGCTCTGCTGCAGTCAACACTTCGCCCATACGACTACAACGACATTTACACGTGCGAGATGACCAGTATGCACTTGAACATGATGCCGCCGAAAATCTTCCAGAATGATAAGGACGACATGGCGGAAAACTGGGAATCCTTATGCGCGTCTGTACTTCTCTGCTGCAATGCAAGTGGCACAGACAAGCGAGGCCCATTTGCACTTGGTAAGAATACAGTGTCTTTTAATGACAATTCTTGGCTGATTTATTTTTATGGTCTCTCTAATACACCTTTTTATCTCTATCAATATTTTAGTCCGACAGAGTGGAGCCAGCGAATCGGTACAGGAGGCCTGTGCTCATGATCCGACAGGCTCATTCTCTGAGTGGTTATTGGACTTTTATCGCTCTTTTAATCGCGACGTCTTGCTCTTAGTGGACAAGCCAACGTGGCGCTTTCTGAGTCAGGACAGCAGCAGCCCTCACATGAATCTTCGCCATGTCAAGGTGGTTCATCTGCCGGAGCATCTCACCCAATTTCTGCCAGTCAGTGCCGGAGTCGCCATGGAGCTCAAGAACAACTATTACACGCGTTTGTTTGAGTCGTGGGCGAACAAAAAAAGTGCGCCAATAGATCAGCAGCAGGATATCGACGAACACCTGCATCTCCTCCAATTGTCCTGGCATGATGTCTCCAGTTTGAATATCCAGCGGTGTTTTCAAGTGTTGGAGGCGCAAATCAATGATCCCGTATCCATTGCCACTCTGGTCAAGAACCCGACGCCGTCGAACACATCGTTGTGGCAGGATCGCAATGCAACAGCCCGACTCTCATCTGCGCTGAGGGCTGTGTACCCCAACGCTCCAGATACTGTTGTCACGTACTTCCAGAATCTCGATAAGGATACAGGTCCGACCAAGTTGCTGCGTGAAGCGCTTCAGGGGATGCAGCAGGGTAATCGGGGTCTGGCAAACCGTTTTCGAGAGTCCGGACTTGTTCTTGTGAGGATCGCGAGACTTCATCCGGTACCCATGCAGTCTAACGTGCAGTGAAATGGGTCTTTAGCAGGTGCCTATTTATTTATTTTCCCTCACCAGACAGACGCCGTGTTCGGGCGGATGTTGGTGCGAGCGAACGCCACAGTCTGAGACGCGGGTCGTCTCAGAAGTGTATATGCAACGCGGATTGACGCGCTTTTAGGGACTTTGCTATTCACCAGAACGGGACGCGACCATCGCTCAGCGCGGTATGGACATCAACCACAACACACACGCCGGCGTGTGCATATATATGATCTAATAAAAATATAAAAATATATAAACTATCTCCAATACGAAAACTATCGCCTTCAAAAATTTTACATCCTCCACAATCGCAGGCATCCTTCAGAATCAAAGGACTCCGACACCAGTCTCCCAGGCGTAATCACGCGGCGCACCTTGGGCATGTCACGAGGAACGATGTGCGGATGCAATGTCGAGGCACGATTTTTGACGCATAGACTAAAAGATGATGTAGCCTTCTCTCAGGTCACGCTCGTTTTGCGCTTTTTGCGTTTACTCAGAATAAAGAGTAAGAAGAAAAAAAGGATCCTCATCCCGAGACACTACGAAAAAGACTCTGCGCGTCCGACCACGGTGAGGAAGATATCTATATATATGAGACTACCAGTATGTTTTTGACCATAATGCCCTCGCAGACCTTTCGAAAGGATGTTTCAGCCAACGCCACTGAATATCTTCACTGGATGAGTCCCGCGGTATTGCTTTGCTTCAATGCGTCGGGCACAGAACGGAGAGCGCCACTCACGCTTGGTAGGTTGGAAAGGCATCGCAGCACATTGAACACGGAGACCCTCAACGACTGTATTCTTAGTATTTTCTTCTTGTCTATTATTTTAGTCCGACAAAGCGCGCCCAGCATCTTTGCAATGAGCAACTATTATGAAATAGTTCTTGATGCAAGCTTTAAGGGTTTGAAAAGTCAAACGTTCCTCGGCTAGCTGGGTGGATTTCGATAGGTCTTTATCCCGTAAGATCTTGCTCCTCGTCGGCGACGCCGTGTGGCGCCTCTTTGACCACAAGATGGTACGATCACGGAGAATTCTCAAGCGCGCGCTGAAATGATCAAAGTACCCAAAGAGAAGATCTGGTTGCTGCCGCTGAGCATGGAGATAGGAAGGGACTTGAAGATCAAATATGCGCTGGGAATGGTTGAAAACTGAGCCAGGGGGACAGTCAACCCTAGTGCATATCCTAATGATCTCGAAGATTATTTAGATCTCATACAACGATCCGGGGATAACATTGCAGGCCCCAGTATTGCTTCCGCCTCTAGGCAATTCATCGATTACATCAAAAAGGAGAAGGACCTTGCAGCGCTGAAAACGACATGCTGCTCGCTTGATCCACCTAGAGACTCTTATGAAATCTTTATTCGAGACCGCATTTCCAAATATTCAGAAACTGTGATCCGATACTTTCTCAACCTCGACAAGGATACAGGACCTTCCGACTTGTTACGGGATACGATCCGAGAGATAGGGCGATAAGGAGCAGATTCAGGGCTGCAGCTTCTGTCCTCACGGTTTGGGTTTCTGAGAAAGATAAATACCAGCCAGTATTTGGACGATGGCTATCAACCTTGGAACGAGCAGTTACATATCCAACCTTGGAGCGCGCCTGGAGTGTACGGATTGCTATCGATCGGCAGAAACGAGCGCTCGCTGTGACTTCTTCAATCTCCCAGTGCGCCAGCAGCAATGATCACACGATCCCAAAGTACACTTGAGCTAGTGTTGTCTCAGGAGATCGTAAGCGGTACTAGTGCAGGAACATTCTCAATTATGAAGCAGTTCACAAGCATGCAGAGACTGGAGCAAGGGAAGTTTAGGCAATGAAGAGTCAGACGACTGATAATATATCTTATAATAAACATAATAATGCTGAAAATGAAAAGGTAATATAATGACTTACATCTCGTTGTTAGTTTGCGATCGAAATTGGTCAATGCTTTCAATCTTCGCGAGGTTCGAGGAAGGGCTAGATTACTTACAGTTTTGTAGATTGCTAATTTTTTTTTTTTTTTAATGAGGTTTCGCTCTTATTTACATTTCGCACAGTACCGAGATGAAGCATAATTGGTGGAATAAAAAAAAAAGCGCGCTGCACAGCTCCAAAATCAGCCAATCAGCGCTTTGGTTCTTTAAAAAGAAACTCCACTCCGCTCGACACCATTCCACTGAACAGTACGCGGCTTCTTACTATTCGTTCAATCAAGCATTTGTCTGCTCAGTCCGTCAAGAGATCGAGGCCTCGGTAAACAGGTCCAAAAAGAAAGCCATGGCCCATGGTGTCCATGTATAGCCATCACATTGTAATAGAAGTTACGGCTTTAACAAAACTCATGTCTTTGTGCTCTTTCATCCCACCTGGCCCTCCTTTTTTCGCCAACGCTTTATTCTCTCCTTATGCAACCCTTACTGGAAACGCATCACCCCACAGTGGCGACTTATTCCGCGCGAATATCGATCTCTCCCAAACACATACGCACTCGATCCCACGTGCACACGGACTCACGATACCATGTCGGAAGCTTCCACGACAGCTGCATACCTGATTTCAGGAAGAACAGCAGCTTTACAGCATCCGATCCCTACTGAACTCAGAGCCGATACACTACCGATGAAAAAACGGAAGGCGACCAAGCAGAGGACAGCAGCCGCTGCTGCAACTACAGACAATGAGCTTACTCAGGTAATGTTGTTTAAAGAGATGAGGAGCGCTTTCTATCGGCCCACAGTATAAAACCGTATGTGCTAATCATCCTATCTCAGTAAACAAAATAATAATAACACCGCAGATGATGGAAGTGGACAGGAACCAAGATATGAAGCACAAACAACTTCACGGACAGTCTCAGGAAGGTCCCAGCATCAAGGTAGCCACAGAATCGATAGACCTGGCTCAACAAGGACCTTCTCAGACTGCACTCGCGTTATTGTTGCAGCATTATCGCCCTGCGGTTTCATCAGATCCATGTGCTCTCTTCCTCACAGAGGACTGGGAGTAAGTATTTCCTGGCTGCGCTCTCCCAGGTCGTTAGGTCCTCGAAAGTGTTCAAGGCGCGGCTAGACGGTGCACGCTCTTTTCTTCTTTAGAAATCAGTGCGTAAACAGTTGCATCTGGGAGAGCCCAAGCGAAAGTACCGAACCCGTATGGCACTAATTTGTTCTCAATCATTTTGGATCTGCGATGCACTCAAAGGGAGAGATAAACGCCTCGGATATCCCACTATCAGTCGCAGACGAAGACGACCAAGCATTCCGTTTGGCAGCTCTGTTACAAGTGTCGTCAAGGATACTACGCTCGGCACCCTGAACCGCTCCGAGTAATTCCTGATGATTATAAATGGTAGAGGATTACTGAGAAGGACGCCTGTCGCTTGCTCCATCTCTCACGACAGGATCTTATCGGCCTTCCTTACGATATACGTCCGAATCCATACTATGGTTGCAGGAACCCTGTACTGGTCTACGACAGTCCGCAAATCCAAAGGCGTGCCTTAGCAATGTATGCTGAATGGGTAGGTGTCGATGCCCTCTCCAGGAGCGAGCTAAGGAAACGAAACAGAGCATTCATGACAAGGTATAGGGAGCTTAAGGCCATTCGGATGACAAAATGAAAGTAAAGAGGCAGTATCAACCATCGCGTGGATATTCAGGACAACACTGAGCTGGAGTGTGGGGATCAAGAAAGCATCCTGATTTCGAGCCATTGTAACAGGCAGATATAGCATAAGAGTGAGCGAGGATGTTATTCAGCGATCGGGACAGCGATTTTCAACCAAATTGTCGAAGAGTCGCTTAAACACGGACCTTTTTTGTTTCCTTTCTTCCTACTAGCGCAATAAAAGTATGGCTGTTTTTTTTACCCTGTACATGCACAGCAACGTATCGAAACTTTTCCTCCACCATAGAAGATATTGGTTGTGCACAGCTAACAGCAGCATGAGTCGTTGCGACCGACCTATGAATCCAAGAACGGCTTCACCGGTTGCAATCATGCAATCATTCACTTTTTCTTGCCTTACAAGGTGTAGTCATCGTCCGGCAACCTGAAGATTAACGGCGGAAGTACCCCAGCCCTCAAGTATTCAGTCCAACTGAAACATAATAATATAGGAGTTTAGAGTGGCATACTTCATTCTTAATCACTGTCGCTTTCGTTGATTTGATAAGTGGGCACGTGGAAAGCTATATATTTTTTTCAATTGGACTGAATACTTGAAGGCACGTCAGGTAAAAACATTCCAGAATAAATCCTTCACGACTGGCAGAAGCCTATGCCGCATCTTTTCTTCCTTCTTCTTCTCCATGACTAAAGCACCCCAGAATCCACTCCAGATACCAGAGCTACGTGCTCGGATTGCACTGTACGTCTCCGTCAAGGATGCCATCGCCTGCACTCAGGTTTGCAAGGCCTGGACAGACCACTTTGTGTATCCCATATGGCACACCATCGACTTTTACAAGCAAATGGATCTTTACCATCTCGGTCAAGACGCTCTTCGAAAATATGGACAGTACATCCGCATCGTCAAGAACCTCACAGAAGAGTCCGACCTGAGCATCATCCTCTGGTCACAGGCGTCCCAGCCGGAGCATCTCACAGTGGTTGTGCAAGATACGGCACGCTTCTATAGAAGTTTCTACGACATCCTCCGCCTGACCAACTCGACTTTGAGGACCCTAAATATCTCGTGCTCGTCATTTCCAAGCTCCAACATGTTTTTCTCGGTCGATGCACTGTTTCCCACTGGTGGTGCCAAAGTGACTTCAAAGCTTTCATCTCTCACTATCCATGGTCTGCAAATCACACGCAATGGATTCTCAGCACTGTTGCGTCTATGTCCTCTTCTCACCATGTTGGACATGAGCAACACTGTCATTCGCAACAACAACACCTTCAACCCCTTTCAGCATCATAAATTACATGAACTAACCGCCTCGCTCGAACAAGTATTTCAGCCGGATCCCAGTTCGCCCAACGCGCCGTCGCTTCTTGTTCACTTCCCGGCACTCAAAGATTGGGAAATACCACAGTCAAGATTGCCGACAACCACCTCCATTGATGCCATCGTAAAAGACGTTGAACAACACTGCCCCTCGGTAACGGCCTTCTTTACCGAAGCTCTTAGTGACATCACGAGAAAGCTGCTGCTGGGAGCCTTCAGGCCCCTGACGGAGATCTTCATCGATCACAAACAAGTTCTTTTGATGTGATCATGGCGATGACTTTTCACAAAGATAAGCTAGAAGTGGCCGGATCCTATTATCCACTTAATCTTTTCGAATCAGACGAAGTTCCTCAGTTGGAGGTCCAGTTCCAGGAACACAGCTGGGCCATTCTGGCGCTGCCTCAGAACTGTGCCCTATTAACGACTCTCCTTTCTCCTTTACATCATATTGATATCGATGCTATTGAAAAGGTGAGATGGACCTGCATGGACCTGAAGTTACTCTATATCAGAATCAGTGGTCTTGACACCGAAGAGAAGATCGATCGTACGGTCCAGTTGTGGCTGGATGGAAGGGAGCTCCTCGAAAAGATGGGGTCTGGAGAGGGTGGCTCGTTTATTGCCGAGGACACTTCAATCGAGGCACGAGTTGCGCGCCATCTTTTGCAGTTCAAGAAGCTGCATAGACTCTGGTTGAGACACCAGATCATAGAGGTAGAGCTGTAATCGCAACCGCAGCTGCAATACATTAACAACAGCACAACTAGCACAGCAGATATACGCTGGACTTGTTTTCGAATAAACATTGGCATAACTCAATTCAGCTCAATTCACACAGCGTCTCGAAGATGAAAGCAGCATGCTTTTTCGACACAGCATAATCTAGTTAATAAATTTTCTGTGTTTGCAGTTATGGAGGCTGGCACAAAATCTATGCAAAACTTTTACGAGTTAATGCAACACCAACAGCGAATGGTCATCTCTTATTTTATGCGTGGGACTCTGGAATAAAATCCTTCGCGACTGACAGATACCCACGCCGCATCTCTTCTTCCTTCTCCTTCCCCATGACCAAAGCACCCCAGAATCCACTCCAGATACCAGAACTACGTGCCCAGGTTGCACGATTTCTTGCCTTAGGGGACACTGTTGCATGCGCGCAGGTTTGCAAGGCCTGGACAGACCACTTTGTGTACCCCATATGGCACACCATCGATTTTGCCGGCAATACATGGCCCAAGAAACTTGGCTCGGCCGTCATCGCTAAATACGGACATCATATTCGCATCGTCAAGAACCTCAAGGATATGGCAAATGTCAATGTCATACTCTGGTCTAGGGCATCCAAGCTGAAGGAACTCTCCATTGCCGTTCAGGACAAGTCCGACTTCCAGGCTTATTGCTACGACATTATCCGCCGCAGCAGCACCACTCTCCTATCCCTGGATATCTCCTGTCTGGCATCCTCACGGTCGTACTTATGGCTCGCGGCATTCTATCAGCGTCCCGGAACTGCAACAACCTCGAAATTGTCCTCACTCACCATCAGTAGGCTGCAACTTACACGAGATGCATTTTCGGCGCTACTGCAACAATGTCCCCTCCTCAACACTTTGGAAATGAAAGATATAGTCATCCATTGTAGTTTCGAGTCCGACATGTTTCAGCATTGCGGTTTGAAGGAGCTCTACGCCTCGATCAACCAGGTCTTCACAATGGATCCCAGCTTTCCTGGCGCGCCTTCGCTCTTTATCCACTTTCCGAACCTCGAAGATTGGAACACAGAGTATCGGACACCAACACCCACCATCTCCATGGATGTCATCGCCAAAGACGTAGCTCGATACTGTCCGCTACTGAAAGGACTCCATACCGGAACCGGAGGCGACATTACGAAGGACCTTCTGCTACAAGTCTTCCGAAATCTGAGTACTATCGTCGTTTCCTATAAGATACTTTCCGCAGATATAGTCACGGCAATACTCTCTCATCATAATACGCTGGAACATCTAATGACATTCATCCCACATGATGGTTTTCTCGAATCCGACAATGTGCCAGCGCTAACGGATCAACTACAGCATTCTAGACGGGCCATCGATCTTTTACCGCAGCTCTGTACAAAGCTAAAGTTACTCTGTCTTTCGTTACATGAGATGCATATCGATGAGATTGAACAGGTGACTTGGGGTTGCAAGGGTCTGGAAGCATTGCATATCAGGATCCATGGACTGAACACCAAAGAGAAGATTGATCGGACTATCCAACTGTGGAGGGACGGAAGGGCCAAGAGCACCGCGTTGAAGGACGGCGCCGGAGCTCTTCAGTGCGACACATCCATCGAGGCGCGAGTGGCCCGACATCTTTTACGATTCGAAAAGCTGCGGAAAATTTGGCTTGGGCATAAGATCAGGACAATCAATGGGCCCCTATAGGGTCACCAGCATTAGAACAATAAAACATGTCTCTCTGTAACTTTAGGTTTTTGAAGAAAAGCGGGTGAAAGTGCATGCTAGACTGCGGTTGTGTCAATCATACAGACATATAGCATGGCTATCTTTGAACTTCTGGATCCAGCTATCGACAGAATGAGCAATTGCTGAATCGAATACATTTTTATTGCTGATATCAACCCTTTCAGAAGCATGGCATAGTATGAGCATGCAAAATGAGTGGTAAGGGCAAAGGAAGTTATGCGCAAGACTGTAAAAGTACAATATCATGGGTCACAGGCTAGTTAAACCTGGACCTGGATCGCATTCTGGACCTCGTTCTCAATAGCGAGGGGACCCGCAATATCACCAGCAATAGCGTTTAAAGCTGCGCATCTATTTGTTCCCGCAATGCTGTTGTCGACATTGCTACCGTCCTCGAGCTGTTCCCGACTGGTGCCTTGCCCTTGTCTGTTGGTTTCATCCTGATTCGCACGACTAGTCTCGTCTTGATTCTGGTTGCCTTCCGCAACACCAGCATTGTCAACTCCTTGTTTGTTCTTGTTATCGTCCTTGCCCTTGCCCTTGCCCTTTGCCGCGCTTGGGTCTCTGCCTTTTTCTCTGATCGTAAACGCCCTGTTTCGGCTCCTCGCCACCTTATTCTTGCAGCAGTCGACCCCGATCCACCCTCCATGCAGTTCCAGAGCGCGCTTCTGAAGCTCATAGGTACGGTACAATCGCATCGGGGTGCCTAAACGCTTGTAGGGATTCCGTCGTACATCGCAGTGAAGGTCTCTGAGATCCGTCTCGGTGAAAGAATAGTTGTAAAAGGCATCTGTTTTTGGCATCTTATGCATCCGAAACTCATACGCGCCAGCATCGTTCTCTCGGAGGGGCTCAGGATGCTTCTTGTAGTATTGGAGGCGACAGTCGCGGCACAGCGACCAAATGAGTCCATTATCATCGTCGTCGGCCATCGCGAGTGGGATGTCTGAAGGTCTCTCCCTGCCTGCCTTGTGTGAATAACATCTGTCGCAGATCCAGAATGAGTGCACACAGACGAGTGCCATATGAGATCGATACTTTTTCTTGGGTTCACCGAGGTTGGCAGCCTGACATATGGCCTTCCAGGCCGCAAACGAACGCGACCCATCAAGCCATGTTTCCGAGAGAACAGAAATCCTGGCGACTTGGGACAGCGGCAGAAGGGACAGGATCTTGTGCCAGACCTCTGTTGGAAGCAGAGAACATGGATCCGTTGGATTCACAGGGTGAGGGGTTGCACCAAAGTCACGATGGCTTCTTTTTCTTCTTGTGAATGCTGTTCAGGCTGATCTGTGTTCGGTGCGGCGGTAGATACCCCATGCACTGGTCTACAATAGTCCGCAAGTCCAGAGGCGTGTCTTAGCAACGCATGCTGAATGGGTAGGTGTCGATATCCTCTCCAAGAGCGAGCTGAGGAAACGAAGCAGAGCATTCATGACAAGGTATAAGGAGCTTATAGCCATTCGGATGACAAAATGAAAGTAAAGAGGTGGTGTCAACCATCGAGCGGATATTCAGGACAACACTGAGCTGGAGTGTGGAAATCAACGCAGCATCCTGATTTCGAGTCATTGTAACAGGCAGACACAGCATAAGAGTGAGGAGGGAGTTATTCGGCGATCGGGACAGCGATTTTCAACCAAACTGTCGAAGAGCCGCTTAAACACGGACTTTTTTTGTTTCCCTTCTCCCTACTAGCGCAATAAGTATGAATTTTTTTTTATCCTATACAGTGGATATTATACGGACAAAGTTGTAGAATCGCAGCTTGATCAACATACCGATATTTTAGCTGTCAGCAATGGAGTCATCGAATTACAAACTAGTGAATTAAGAGATGGACGACCATCTGACTATATGTCACGTCAACTACACGTTAATACATTGGACTAGATGCCAAACAGGCAATATGGACGAATGTATGGCGAACATATTTAATAACGATTCCGACGCTACCACATATTTGCAGTGTCTGCTTGGGTATAGTATTACAGGTTGCACAGACTCGCAAGTGTGGGTCCTGTTCACTGGCGAAGGCTCAAATGGCAAGTCTCTACTGGCCAGTCTATTAGAGTCATTATTGGAAGGTTGGTTGGTAACTGCCCTGCATGGGATTTTTTTTTTTCGAGGACTTCGCGCAGGTGAGGGCCCTCATTCGACTGACTTAGGAACATTAAAAGGAGCGCGAATTTGCATCAAGGAGGAGGCAGAGCCAAAGGAGCAGCTAAATACTGACGTACTTAAGACGATTACCGGTGGAGGTTCCGTTACAATGCGTGCAGCCTATGTTAGCTCATATGAATCCTCTCGCCCAATGACGCTACCTATCCTACTTTGCAACCATCGCCCTGCAGTTGATATTAGCGACCATACCATGATGCATCGTATTGCTGTTGTTCCTTTTCAGAATGTTTGATATTTATTTTATTCGATCTACCGTACTTTAGGTGCACTGCATCTTGCTCATAGACTCCAGCGCCTGAGCACCACAAAAACAAAATTTATTTATTATATTGGACATACAGTATACATCGACAAGTGAGAAAATGACCAGCATGGTTCAGTCCTAGCTCCAATCTTTCTCAACCACTTTTTTTTTTTTTTTTTTTGGCGCCTCCGCTCGACCCAGTTGCACCGTCACTCGACCCTGGTGATTCACCGGCCAATGCAGTGTCGAGATCGATTTTCAAGGCATATTGCCTCACACATTGTCGTACGATCGCAGGCACTTTTTTAGAAGCCGCTCCGGTGCCAGTGGAGTAATCCTGAGCCTTAAAGTCGGCATAAATCCTGTTTGGTACTACAAAGTAAAGCCCAAGGTGTTTTCTGTTTTTGCCGCTCTTCTTCCATTCATCCCCAAGGATGCTTTCTGCGATTTCCTTGAGCGGTGCTTGCTTGATCGGGTGGTTCAAAGACACTGTTGCTTGGAACAATTTGTCGGGTGCCAATGCCAGGTCGATGCATGGGAAGTTAGGGATAGTCGGTATGAACAAAGGCATTTTAGACCCTTTTTTGCGCTCTGCGGATAGCCCCGAAAGTTCGTCCAGTGACTGGATATGCTTGACTGGTGAATTAGCCGGAATGTCGAGATGAGCACATGCTGTTCCTGTCTCAAGGTCTTTGATTTCAAAGGAAAAGCCTCCCTTTCGGAAGATGTAGTGTACGTATAGTTCAAACAAAGGGCCCCTCGCAATCTCTTGGCCACCGTGAACGAGATTCCTCAATAAGACGGCCCATGATTTATCCTTCAGTTGCATGACGATCTCTTGCTGGATATGTGGTGAGGCCCATGCCAAGTAGTAGTTTTTGTTATCCACAGTGGGCCATCGGTGAAGAATACGGCTGCTAAACTCTAAGGAATCTCTTCCATTAGCAAAGCATTCCAGGAGCATAGCTGGATCCCTGACGCGCTTAATGGCCTCATCGACACGATGATATGCTTCATTCTCGGCTTCAGCAGTGGCGTTCCTATCTCGTCCCAGTACAACCGACGGAGATTTCAGGACATATCTCGGTACTCCTCCCATCTTAACGTAAAGCTTCTCCATAAAATCCGGCTTGACCACATTGAAACTCTTGACGCTGACTCGGCACTTCTCCAGTTCATTCAACCCCCAAGGCGCCATGTAGTAATACCGTGGTGATTCTTTGGCTACTTCTTTGTATTGCTCCACGAGGGTCTTTGGCGATGCTGATAGGATAGTCTTGGCTGGGCCGAGCACTGGGTCTGGGGAGCTGTCGACTAAATACCACGTTCCAGGCAGATCGAGAAAGGCTTGAAAATCGCTGACCTCTCCGATGCATACAGTGGAGATCCCTCCATAAACATAGCATGTTGAACTCCGTTTCGTGTGGAAAACGATAATAGGAGGGTTGTCACCATCGCTTTCTGAAAGAAGTCGGATAGTAAAGTACACCAAGAACGCTGACTTGCCAATGCCAGAGGTGCCGGTGACGACGATGCGATTCTGGAGTGGCGATAAGGTATCCGTGAATGTGGAGGTGATATCCAGATAAAGTTTTTTGTAATCCTCCCTGACGTATAGATCCTGTGTGTCGACAATAGGAAACAGAGTGCCGGAAGGTGCAGATATTGATTCCAAAAATTGTATGTCAGTGCCTTTCTCCCGGAGAGCACGCGCTGTCTCGAGCAGTGACCGGAATGCAGAATCCGCCAGAGTTTCCTGGCCAAGATGTTTCAATACAGCGACCTTTTCTTTTTGGTTTAGGGCAGAAAATTTGAGTACGCCATCCACTGTTTCCCTGTCTGCAAATCCCGCGTTCTCAATCGCACGTAAGAAGTTTGTCTTGAGTCTTTTGGAGGGGTCATTATCTCCTTCTGCCCTCCTTTTGCCTGGAGATATAAAGAGACTGTTAGACACCGAAGCCAGTATTGAAAGGTTTGCATTGAGCAGTGAGTGTTATTACCTGGTGGCGGGCGTTGTACTATGATATAGTCGTCGTCGCCTGGCTCTTGTGGAAACACCTGAGAGAGAAGAGTCCTGGGAAAGAGTTTCTTCTTCTCATTCAGGGTGTCGAGTTTGACTGGCAGCTCATCCTTATCAGTGATGGGGACTGTGACACTCCAGAGAGTGAGCAGGTCGGCCTCTATATCAAACGTGTCAGGTTTCTCGGCCTTGATGCGCTTCTTGAGGTCATCAATGGTTTCTGTTGCGGCAATCTTGACAGAAAAGGCACTCGATGTGGGCTCGCCATCAACAAGACAAAATAATTTGAGGTCGGCCATGGCAAAGGGAGCAGATTGTATGGGGAAGAGGGGTACGCGAAAGGGTGATGCAAGTGAAGGCTGATGAGAGGAATGGAGTAGATAGGGCAAAGATGGTGACAAAGGGAGTGAACTTGCGGTTAGTGGGTGAATGTCAAGCTTTTTTTTATTGACGCCAGGCGTGCAGGTGTGCCACAGGCTGTATTGTTCAGACCTCGGCTTGGAAGATCACGGGCCAATATGAATTTTATCCATCTCGTTCAACACCACCTTTCCCTGGAGATGGTCCACTAGGCGGTTGTCTGCTCTCCTCTTCGCCGCTGCCGTAGCCTCCTCTTGGGGCTGTTGTCTCACAAAGCCCTGGGCCTCACCTCCTACTTGGACCCCAGTTTTCTTCATTCTCGCGCATATGCCCTTGGACTTTTCCCGCACCACTAAAAACAGATCGTTTGCTCAGGTGTGCGCGAAGGTCCCGTGATGTGATCGAATATTTAGCGTGACCGGCTTTAAAGAGCGCCATCATATACCTTTCCTTCATCCCTCGAGGAGCATAGTAACTTCGACGAACAATAAATACACATACATACACACCCACACCCCCTACACCCCCTTCGTTCTCGTTGTTAACCAATGGTTGCACAAACCCGCCAGCAGGCAGTCAAGGCTGCTCGCACGGCGGAACAGGCAAAGGTGACAGCAGCAGCAGGCCTTTCGTTTGACGGTTCCGGTCCGAAAGGCAAGAGCAAGATGAAGCAGATCAACAGAAATGCAGATGAGGGAAATGCAGAGATCTCATTGGCACGTCGGACCATCGCTCGAGATGAGCATGGACTTTTGGTAAGCACTCCACCCCCATCCCCAGTTGTTTCCTCCTCGGACAGGGCTGTTAACGACGGGGCTGAGGACATGGAAGTAACCATGGACGAAGCTGAGCACACTCAGAGCGTTGAGGCGACTGAGAACAAGGGTCCAGGAGAGGACGCTGCCAATGGCGAAGGCTCTACTGAAGCCATTGCCGGGGATCATCCAGAGGAGAGTGTGCGTTTCGATGACATCGTCGAGGATATCGACGAAGACGACCCAGGTAGTTTCCAAGTGATTCGACGCACCCGCGAGAAGTTCAACAGGGTTCTGGTCCCTCTATCTTCTCTGCGTGGCGAAACAACTGAAGAAAAGCGGGAGGACCTGATGGGGATGCTGAAGGCGGCCGAGGTCAGTGTTTTGGCAAGGATCAAGACAAAGAAATTCGATGGCGAACATCTTTATTCGGTGTCAGTGGAGACAGAGGCTCAAGTTCAGGAGCTGCTAAAAATGAGGACTGAGAATGCGGACGGAGCCCGCGCTTTCATCTTCCGCCGCGCGAATGACGACTGGAGTCAGGACCGCCGTCGACGAACAGTGGAGGTGTGCGGACTTCCCCCACGCATAACGGACACGCTGGTCCGTTTGTCATTGCAGAAATATGGAGAGATCGAGGACATTTCGCGTCACATTTGCAGCCGCGGTATCAAGGTAACCCTTGCAGTGCGTTTCACGTCCCAAGCGGGCATTGAGAAATTGGTAGAAGAGGGCACTGCCTCTCTCTTTGTGAGCAATGAACACGCTCGTTTGGGCCGTCTTGGTGCCGTGTCATTGCAATGGAACACGAGGCATGTATGCAAACTGGCGGGCTTGCCTTCTCAGACGAGCTGCAACAGGTTTATGCTCGGTTAAGTGCATTATGATGTCATCAGCGCTTCGCCCATCTTTCTACGACTTTCTAGAACACTGTTGCTATCTATCCAGCCAGTTTATATAAACCCCATCCACACGTAGAACTAGACAGCAGCATTGATACGAATAAAGCCTCCTTTCCACCCTAGATCCACTTCCACCTGATTTGACCGTTTGCATTGGTAGCAAAGGTGCCTTTCGATCCACCCCAGATATCTGTCAGGAACAGACTTGGAAGAGTGGGATATGTGTTATGGAGGAGACAGACAGTGGACAAGGTATGGAAGAAATGTATTGCAGACTGAGGTTATATGCTATGGATTCTATGGCTCTATTTATGTGTTTCTAGGATTCTTGGTCAGGGTACTCGGATGGCTACTACGGGACGCGAGGTATATTTGCTAGGAATAGCACAAAGGTATGGATCTGGTACAATGGTTCTAGGCGGGCCGGATAATGGCAATATCAATAAAGATACTTCGTTGAACATATGTTGATCGAGCATACGGTGGCAGAGGTACGCGTGCAAGCGCGTGAGCGCGTAGAAGCAGTCACAAATCAATATGAGCAATTGTGTGCGCAGCTCAACTGTCACTCTGCACCACACGCTATGGTGCTATCCGTGACAATCCCCTCTCTTAGGAGCGACTTCCAGGAGCGACAGAAACTGGACCGGGCTTTGCTGGGTACTGGCGATGGAACTCAGCAATGAGCTCTGGGCAGTGTGAGACATTTGCAGCGGGTTCCCAAGATCTCTCATCTGGAGGAAAGTCTTTCCAATCGACCAGGTACTGTAACTTGCGGTTGCGCATTCGTGAATCCAAGATGACTTCGACCTCGTACTCGATCTGACCTTCGACTTCGACAGGTGGGGCAGGCGGTGCGCTACGGTTCGGAATCTCATTAGCCTGATGAGGCTCTAGGAGAGACACATGGAACACAGGATGTATTCGTGCCATGGAGACAGGGAGCCGGAGTCGGAAAGCACGAGTCCCTACGCGTTCGAGGATCTCGTATGGCCCCAGCTTGCGGTAGTCAAGCTTGTCGGAAGGGCGCGTGGTCTTGATGTGTCGCCTCAAGAGCCAGACTTTATCACCAGGTGCAAAGTCGGGGGGCGCTTGGACATGCTGATTGAAGTAGCGAGCCTGGGCTTCTTGCGCAGCGCCGATATGGAACTTCAAGTCATCCTGCAGTCCCTTCAACAGCATGATTCGGGCAGAGGCGGCAGGTGAGTGGCGGGACACGCGTGGGATGTGGATGCTGAACCGAGGGTGGTATCCATACAAGGCCATGAACGGAGTCTGGTTCGTCGAGGAGTGAACGGTATTGTTGTACGTGAACTCGGCTAAGGGCAGGAGTCTGGACCAGTCGTCTTGCTGATAGTTCAAGAAGCAACGAAGGTATTGCTCAAGCGTTGCATTGGTTCGTTCGGTTTGGCCATCAGTCTGTGGATGAAAAGCCGTTGACAAATTCTGTTTGACCTTTAGGGCTTCCATAAGCGAACGAGTAAACTGGGCGGTGAATGTGGTGCCACGGTCGGAGACAATATCGTCGGGGAGACCGTGGGCACGGACGACTGTGTCTAGGAACAGGCTCACTGTGCCGGCAGCATCGACCTCGTCATGCGTAGCAACGAAGTGGGCCATCTTGGTTAACCTGTCCACGAAGACTATGATGGACGTGAATCCATGGGACGCAGGCAACTGCGTGATGAAGTCCATGGAGATTGAGGACCAAGGGCTCTCTGGTATAGGTAAGGACTGAAGGAGGCCATAAGGCTTGTGATGGACAGACTTGTTCCTCTGGCACGTATCGCAGGTACTGACAAAACGTTTCACATATTGGCGAAGGCCTGGCCAGTGATAGGTTCGATTCACGAGCTCGAATGTCTTCAGGAGGCCAAAGTGGCCTGCGGTGGGGTCGTCATGGCAATGGACCAGGATATCTCGGTGAATGTCATCGGCGTCGGGGACATAAATTAGGCCTTTGTAAAACAGGAGGGTATCCTCAATGGCGTAGTCAGGCTGAGACTTTGGGTCCTTGGCAAGGTCAGCAAGGAGTCCGCGAGTGATCTCATCATCGGGATATGCGTCTTTGATTCGACAGGAGATCTCATCTTGGGGATCTAGTCGAAGCGCTGCTGTTAACGCCAAGAATGAGACCGTATTGATATCGACAGGCTTCGGGAGCAAGGTCATTTCGTTCGACGTGACAGGGCCTTCCCCCCCCTCAGGGGAGTGTACGCGCGACAAAGCATCGGCAGCACCGTTAAGTACGCCAGGGCGATACACCAACTGAGTTTTGAATTTCGACAGGCGTTCGGCGTACCGGATCTGGCGCTCACTGAGCGGTCTTTTCTCGGAGAAGTGTTCCAGGTTTTTGTGGTCGGTCAGAATAGTGGCAGGAAACGTGGAGTACGCAAAGAAGTGTCGCCAATGCTCAAGGCCTTCGATAGCGGCCAGCAACTCGGTGTCGTGGACGTGATAATTGCGCTCGGGGGCAGTGAGCGAGCGGGAGTAGAAGCCAAGAGGATGCAGCACACCTTTGTCGTCAGGTTGGCTACAGACAGCACCGAGGGCCGTTTTGGAAGCATCAGGTTCAAGGACACAAGGCAGCTCAGGGTTAAAATGCGCCAAAGCCGGCTCCTGCGTGAAGGCCTCACGGAGGGCCGTGAAAGCGCGATGGGCGGCATCATCCCAGGCAAACAGAACGTCCTTCTTGAGCAAACGGGTGATAGGGGCGACGACCTTGGAGAAGTCTTTGACGAATCGGCGATAGAAATTGGCAAAGCCGAGGAAGACCTGTATATCACGGACAGAGGCAGGGGTAGGCCACTCTAGGGTGGCCTTAACCTTTGAAGGGTCCATGGCGATGCCGTCGGGCGAAATCACGTAGCCTAAGAACTCGACTTAC